ACTGTGTCTGCGCTCTGGTCCGGATGGCTGGGGCTGGGTGTTCAGCAGTCCTGGGCTCCCTCTCCCTCCCTGCTGACTCCTCTCCACCTGCCGGGAGCTGGGGGGAGGGGCACTCAGGTCCCACCGGGCCGGGGCTTGTATCTTACCCCCTTCACTAGGTGCTGGGTTCTCTCAGGTATGTTTGTGGTCTGGATATTGTCCTGTGTCTTCTGGTCTCACTTTTAGGAAGAGTTGTCTTTGTTGTATTTCCAAAAATATATGTGGTTTTGGGAGGAGATTTCTGCTGCTCTACATGCCGCCATCTTGGCTCCGCCTCTCACCATTTTTAAAAGTTGGTACTAACAGACTGAAGTATACTATTCATTGAGACTCAGCCAGCAGTTGAGGGAGTGGTAAACATACATACACATGCGAAGGTAATGAGAAGTTCCTTGCTGAAGTTATAGTTCAGAATTCCTGAGCAGGACGTCAGGTGTGTTTGTGTTGGGGCCCAGGTGGGGGGTGCATGCACAAGTGCGTGTGCACACACAGGCCAGAGTCACAGTGTGGTAGCCCTGGCATGATGCAGGCACCCTGTCGCAGGTATACTACCCCGTGCGGCACCACCTCGTTCAGCACATGGTCAGCGCCATGCAGAGGCTGGGCTTCACACCCAGTGTCACCATTGAGCAGAGGAGGCTGGCCGTGGACCTGTCTGAAGTTGTCATCAAGTGGGAACTGCAGAGGATCAAGGACCAGCAGGTAGGGTGTCACCCCAGCCCTGGGCCTTGTACTCCTCCCTAGAAATTAGTCAGTAAGGTGTGTGTGTCTGTGTGTGTTTTAAGCCGGACTCAGACTTGGACCAAAATTCAAGCGGAGAAGGAGTCAACTCTGTCTCGTCTTCCATTAAAAGAGGCCTGTCGGTGGACTCTGCCCAGGAAGTGAAACGCTTTAGGACGACCACAGGAGCCATCAGTGCAGTAAGATCGTGTGCCCCTGCTGTGTGCTTTCTTCTATGGGGTCTGTGCTTCCTTGTGGAAGTTTGTTCATTTATTTCACACGTTTTGAAAAGGTGCGGAGTACTCAGCACCGTGTCAGACAACTGGGAAGGGCTGCACTCACCAGACCCCGGTGACACACAACCCACTCCAGGGTTTTCCCAAGTTACCAGACACATTTTCCTTTGCATGTACTTAATACCATTAGAGTTCCAGCAAGAATGGTTAATTGCTTACAGAAAGGAATCCAGGGGACTCCCGGGGATGAGAAGGTTCACTATGTTGCGCTCAGTTTTGTTAAAAAGATAGCATGTCCTCCTTGGGGAGGCAACCACCAGGAAGGCCCCGGCTGCCCCCTCTCCTTGCCCCTTGTGGAGGTGAGCACTCTGTAACGCTGTCTGCCGGGAGTAAACTCTCCCTCCCATGCCTCACAGTTCCTCTAGGGCATGTGGCCTGCACCTCCCCATCCCCATGCCAGATTAGAATGGGAGCCCTACCACCTGGCCATTTACTGTCCCCTACCCATGGGCGGAGAGCCAGTCCTGTCAGCAGCCCCATGAGCACCCATCCCTTCCCCCTGCCCTGCCATCATGCACCAGCCCTGGTGCCTCACCCAGACCATGGAATTACCTCCCACCTGTTCCCTTTTTGTGTCTCTTCCATGCACTTTTCACAAAGCAGAGTACCAGAAACTTTCTTTTCAAAATTTAATTCAGGGGAAGCTTGCTGGAGGTGTGTGGGACCTGTACTATACTGTTTTTTTAACTTCTTATGAATATATAATTGCTTACAAATAAAAACTTAAGCAATTAAGGACTCCCCAAGTCCTTCCCTTGGTTGTGGCTTTCATGCTCCCACACCTTGCTCATGATGCGCCAGCCACACAGGCCTTTCCTCTGCCCCAGAAACGCCCCAGGGTCCCTGCTCACTTAAGACCTGTCCGCTGGCTCCTTCTCTCCCTGGAGCAGTTGCCCCTCCTCTCCACTCACGCTGGCTGCTTCTCTGTCTTAAGAGCCACTTGATGTCATCCTTTCACCCCGGAGCACAGGGTGCATTATCTTCCCCGTGGCTGCTCTGTCTGTTCGTTGTCCTGCCCCTGGTGTCACCAGTGCCCAGGACAGCGCCTGCTCTGGAGGACTGGGTGCCGTTAGGCGGCCACGGAAGTTAGCACCCAGCATGTGATGTGCTGTTAAGGCCCTTCCTGCCTTCACCAGGTGTTCGGGAGGAGCCAGTCGCTGCCCGGGGCCGACTCCCTTCTTGCCAAACCCATCGACAAGCAGCACACGGACACCGTGGTGAACTTCCTCATCCGGGTGGCTTGTCAGGTGCGGCCTTCTCATGGCTCATGTTAGGGATTCTTCAGAACAAAGACCACTTAAGACACCAGAATGTTTTCTGTGATGGTTTAGTCAAAAAAGAAATAGACAAAGCAAGGTCAGAGCTAGTTCTGTCACTTCTGTAACAAATTCTGTTGATCTCACAATATGCTAGTAATGCTGACATCTGCCTGTCTTAGAAATGATGATATGATTTTTTAAGAATGTTTTTTCTTTCAGCAGTGATAAAATACTGTATCTTAAAATTAAAGGTATGTTGGTGCTAGGGAAACATGATAGCTCAGTGATCTTGGACAGATTATTTAACTTCCAAGTTACCTGTCTCATAAAGGTATTGGATGATCCAACCTACATAAGTTAGGTTCAACATTTAGTCATTTAAATACTTTTGTACCAGTGTTTATTTACCATTCATATCAATATATATTTTCAAGGAGTTGTTGGGAATCTATTTCTGAAACTTCATTTTTATATGTCAAAAAACATTGTAAATGAAATTTCCAGGGTATTTTTTTAGAATTTGGGAGCTGTAAGGTTTTATAATGATAAAAGTAGTGTAACTTGCGATACTGTAGAGGACTTGCCAGCACTGAGAAGAACCTGCTGAGCTCTCAGTGCCGTGTCCCTGGGGGACAGTGCGCTGGGCATGGCTCGGGCCTGCCCTCTGGCCACCTGACACTCAGCTGCCACTTGGAGTGTGGATAGCGCTGCCAGGAGCTGGAGGGTCCCCTGTGGGTGTCCCTGAAGCCAGGATGGCTGAGCTGAGTCTGGTGGGAGAGGAGGGGCAGCAGTGAGGAGAGCCAAGGCACCAGGACAAGGACACGGTCGGGGTGAAGCTCTGGCCTGAGTGGGTGACTTTCCAGGTGAACGACAACACCAACACTGCAGGATCTCCAGGGGAGGTGCTGTCTCGCCGGTGCGTTACCCTGCTGAAGACTGCCTTGCGGCCAGACATGTGGTCCAAGTCTGAGCTCAAACTGCAGTGGTTCGACAAGCTGCTGATGAGCGTGGTAGGTGTGCGGGCCCTCAGCTGTCTGGGCTGGGGCTGGGACGCTGAAGCCTGAATCTTCCATTGCCTCAGCCAGCTGGGTTCCTTCCACTTTCTTCCAGTGCTACCGAGAGGGGTTTCACTCCCTGAAACTGGTTTTAAAACCTCAGCTCTGCCCTGGTGCCAAGCACAGCTAGGATTTGTGAAAATTGAATAGTTCTCCTGCCTTTCAAAGTTTCATTTCTTAAACTGACCCACTGGCTGGCTTGGGATAAACGTTTTTAGTTGATTTCTGCAAGAACCTTTAAAATGAACTTAAATTTTTAAGATAGATGGATGTATAATTTATAAGCAGAATATTCAGATAGCAAAGAAATAGCCCCAAATGCTGATTAATTTGTTGGGTTTTTGTTTTGTTTATGCAGTAGCCAGCATCCTTTAGTTCTCTGGCAGGTGCAGACCTGCTGTGAGCATTTGTTCTACACAGCTAGGAGGGTTGCACAGGTTACCTGCGCTGTGAGATGCAGTGGGAGCATGCGCTTTGATTCCAGCATGGTGCCTAACTTCTGGATTGTCTGCAGATTTCCTTCCCCTTTTTCTCTTTGAAAGGGCAGTTACTTTCCTATCAAAGGCAGGCACAGTTGAATCAGGCTCAGCCATGAGCAGGCAGCCTCTTCCACTGAATAGGCTAACACTTGCATAATGCCATAGGCTGGGTTTATGGAGACCTTCCACATTTTTCCCATAGTGGGAGGTCGCCCCTCACAGCGCACATGTGCCACATATGTGCATCCATCAGAGACGAGCGTCATGCAGTGGGATCACCTCAGCACTAACCATGCACCCTCTTCTCTTTTGTATTGCTTTCTTTCTCTTTGAATGCTGGTACTCTCAGATGATTTCATGATACACAATTTCAAAGATACTTCCTTCCTTTTGAAAGGATATTTGTTTTTTAACTGAAAAACTAGGAGGAGAAAAGCAAAATTCAGTGCAGTAATAGCCTTTTTAGGCCAGGTTTTAGTCATTTTCAAAACTTTAGTATTGAATATTGATACTTTTCATGCACTTTTAAAGAGGTTTGACTGAGTAAGGTTATTTTATTAAGAGAAACACAAAAATCTGTACTAATAAAATAGTGGTCACATGTTTTTATATGTTTGGTGCGTTCATCCTTCAGTGGTTTTTTTACTTTGTTCCAAAAACTTACTTAATGGTGCATAGCTTTAAATTCTGTGATTCACTTTGCAGTCCTTGTGTGACCTGTGTTCTCTGTTTCAGGAGCAGCCTAATCAAGTTAACTATGGAAATATTTGCACAGGATTGGAAGTGCTGGGTTTCTTGCTAACTGTTCTCCAGTCCCCAGCCATCCTCAGCAGCTTCAAACCCCTGCAGCGTGGTGTTGCTGCCTGTATGACGTGTGGGAACACCAAAGTGTTACGAGCAGTCCACAGCCTCCTCTCACGCCTCATGAGCATTTTCCCAACAGAGCCAAGTATGTGACCTTTCCATCGGTGTCTCTCCTTCTGAGGGTGGGTGGGCACCAAGCTCATTACTTGAGAGTGTCATCCTCCAGTCACTGTATCAAACATTTTATCATCCCACTTTTCTTTGTTTTGTCTGCTGTGGAAACATAGTTCTTCGTCAGCTGAACGTTTTCCTGTTCCCTTAAGGTATTAAGGGAAATTAGGTTAAAGTATTTTGTCAGATGTGGAACAGTTGGCAAGTTCAAGTTTGGGCATGTAGTAAAGAGGCACATTTAGAGCAAATTCAGGTGAGATAAAAGGTTGTTGCTCCCCCCGGAGACCTCCCTTCTGCTGCAGTGAAGGGACCTGCCCGTGCTAGTTGCTACAGATCCCAGAATAAGGAAAGTCCTGGTGGTGCCTGGATGGGTGTGAGAACCGAAACCATGGGCCCAGGTTCTCACTCCTGTTTCAGGTACTTCCAGTGTGGCCTCCAAGTACGAAGAGCTGGAGTGTCTGTATGCGGCCGTCGGGAAGGTCATCTATGAAGGACTCACCAACTACGAGAAGGCCGGCAACGCGAATCCCTCCCAGCTCTTTGGTGAGTGTGCATCTTACCTGGTTTTCCCAGCAGTGGTTCAGTTTGGCATTCGTCTGTCCGTACTTTCTGGATGAGCTTTCCTTCTGAGAAAGGCTTGGGGTGTCAGGAGGAGCTTTGAGCTGATGTATTGGTGAGAGTGTCTGTGTGTCCTGGTACACACAAGGCCATAGTCCCCTGTGGGCCTTGAGGCTAGCAGCCTCCACCGCCAGCTCCAGTACTTCCTCGAGTCCTCCCACCTTGGCCTCAGGTGAAGATTTGGGTGCCAGAGGAATTGCGCCGGGTTGCATGGATCCTGCAAGTGCAGTTTTACACACAGGAGGGATGCTGCTAAAGTGGTACACAGATACGTGGAGTGACTGCTTCTCACAATGTGTTCACCTATCAGGCCGCTCACAAGGCTAGCCCCCATCTCCATGGTGAGGCTCTGGCTGCCTTAGGTGAAAGAAAAACTGGTCTCTGGGTCATGGGGCCACTGAATGACATTGACTTCCAGATTCCCAGAAGTCACATGCATAGCTGCTTATTACTTTCTGTGAAACTCAGACATCTGTGAGTAGATTAGATTTTGGGTTAGCAACTCTGAAAATGTTTTTCTCATTTTTACCTATTCGTTGTATAAAACTTTGAAAATGCAAATGGAGGAAAACTAAATAAAAGTAACCTATAAGCCTCTCTACTTTGTAGTAATCACTCATAATGTTTTGATGTGTATGTCTTTTCTGTGCACATTTATATAAATACATACTAACCCTTGTTATGCAGAGCACTTGTGCAAACTGAACACATTGTTTAACAAATTTGTTGCTCTCCAAACTCTTGCTACTTACTATCTGAAATTTAGGAGCCAGGGAGATGTAGCTAAAACAGCACCCCTTGCTGTCCAAGCTTGCTGTCTCTATTCTGGAACCAGATATACTTTGATAGTGAGGAACACTTCCGTGTCGGTTTTTTAAGTGGTATCATGCAGTGGATTATGCTCTGCATCCTGACATCTGTCGCGAGTCAGCTTGAACATGGAGTTGACTCTCCTGAGTGCAGTGAGCAGAGCTGACTCCTGTTGGCCCTGCCTCCCTACTTCGTGGGGGTGACAGCAGGCTCAGGGCTAGCGGCCCGGGGGAGCTGTCCACGCTGCTCCCCCTGTGCGAGACCCAGAGCACAGTTACCGACACCTGCTCCGCAGAGGGGAGCACGGCAGCCAGGAGCGGCTGTGTTCTTCATCCTCAGGTGTCGGGTACTCAGCCTGCTCACGTGTTCACTGTTCTGCTGAGAATCACCTTTTAACAAAGCAAGCCTGAAATTGTCCAGAAATTCTGGGATGATCACATCTGCAAATGGCAAATAAATACCTTTTATGGTACTGTGATGTGAGCCATGAATGTAAATTTACTATTTAATGTGTAGGTCAGGGGTGTTCGTAAAAATGCTAGTTATGAAAGATAAATTGTTTTTCGCATACTCAGTGTCCATGCTTTGCTCTTGGCTTGCTGAATTGTCATGTCCAGATGACCTAGATAGAAAAAGAGGTTCCCTTCCCTCCCCAAACATACCATGGGACAAAAAACATCACTTAGGGTGGTTTGTGTAACCTAAACATAAAAAGCAGGCCTGAAGCTAAGAATATTGTTTGTACTGAAGCACAAAAACCAGGTTTCATGCCTGATGTGTTAACGATGAGTTAATTAGGAGTGAAACTATAATGCTTCACAGTGTGTATGCCATGTAAAAGCCTATGGTCACTTTGGGGATTTATATGTCAGAAATACATTTTTATTTAGCACACTTTTTAATGTTGTAAGTAGCGTATTTTTGTTACTAACACAGTTGTTTTTTTTTTTTGACTTTTAATAAAGCCCTTCTACCTTTCAGGGACCCTTATGATCCTCAAGTCAGCCTGTAGCAACAATCCCAGCTACATAGACAGGCTGATCTCCGTCTTCATGCGCTCCCTCCAGAAGATGGTCCGAGAGCACCTGAGCCCGCAGGCTGCGTCGGGCAGCACGGAAGCCACCTCAGGTGACAGGCTTGGTCCCCCAAGGTGTTCCTCAGACTCTGACACCTAAATGGGGCCAACAAGTGTGACTGAATCCTAAAACAAACATGAGTTCCTGTTGTTTTTACGCCATCCATTATCAGTTGTTCTTAATGGGTTCTGAGCATTTCATTTAAAACCAAAGTGAGGGTCATTTTTAAAATAAGTTACTTTTAATATTTTTGAGCCTAAGAATGAAGACATTTTTAATGGTTGGACGTTCATGTGGAACATTCACCACTAAATGAGAGTTTGCTCTAAAAACTGCTTAAAGCTGTTCCGTCCGACAGAGAGCTGGTGGCAGGTCTGAGACCTGAGCAGTGGGCTCAGGAACCTGGGTGATGTGTGATGTGGGGCAGGACGCTGCGGTTGGCCCTTCACGTCACAAGTGCCATGGGCCTGACGTAGGACGTGGCTGCACAGGGTGGCCTGCACTGATCCCACCAGCTCCACCATCCCCTCCCATGGCGGGAGGCTCTTCAAGGGTAGTGAGAAAGTTAGGATGCACTCAAATCCCAGAGCTCTAGTTGCTGGAGAAAATATGGGGCAAGTGGGGAGAATCCAGCATGCCACGCAGTGCGAAATGGCTGCCTGCGGAGCTGGACTTACAGAGGCTGTGGGGCCCCTTCTCTGCATGAGCAGGAACGAGTGAGCTGGTGATGCTCAGTCTGGAGCTGGTGAAAGCGCGGCTGGCCGTGATGAGCATGGAGATGCGCAAGAACTTCATTCAGGCCATCCTGACCTCCCTCATCGAAAAATCACCCGATGCCAAAATCCTCCGGGCTGTGGTTAAAATTGTGGAAGAATGGGTTAAAAATAATTCCCCAATGGCAGCCAATCAGGTGAGCTGGGGGGGCCATTCTGTGGTCTCTCTGCCTGAAAGTTCAGGCTTTACTTTGCTTTCTCAGCTCTCTTCTGAAACTTCTCAGGTGAAACTTTTTCCCCATATTTGCATCCCTGTATGTTTTCTTAAGATGAATTTTTCTCACTGTGCTCACCAGATTTTAAATAGAAACTTGAAGTGATAGGTCACTCATCTTATTGTGGTTTTACTTTGGTTAAAGTATTAAATAATCCTGACTTGTTAGTCTTGGTGGTGGCGAAGGTAAGCCAAAAAAAAAACCACTTAATAACGAGGGACTATTATTTAATTTAGTAAAAGGTGTGCAAACTTCTGATTTGTTTCACAATTCAGTGTCCTTTCCAGAGAGCTCTAGCCTCTTGGAAAATTTCATTGGTATCGGTCTCAATTTTAAGCATCCAAAGCATCAGAGCCATCTTTGATTTTTCTGTTTAGAAATGATGTTATTTTACTTAACAGAATTGTAGGAGCTTAAAAAAATGGTAGGACAGGTGGCTGAAATGCTTTTTGAAAGTATCTTTTCTCAAATATAAGTAATAAGTAATTAACCTCTTAAAATAAAATTCATAGACACCTACACTCCGGGAGAAGTCCATTTTGCTTGTGAAAATGATGACCTACATAGAAAAGCGTTTTCCAGAAGACCTTGAATTAAACGCCCAGTTTTTAGACCTTGTTAACTATGTCTACAGGTAATTACAACAATTAATCAAATATTGCATAAATCATTCCATAATGTGTTCTCTGACTGACAACTCTTCATTATACCTAAATTTTAAATATTCATTTAAATACTAAATCACTTAACACATTTGGTGTCATTAATGAGCCTTTTGCTCAAATACTGCATCATTATAACACAGTCTTGGCTTTCATAGCAGCATTTTGAAAAATTGTTATAACTTGTGTCCTGCTCGTTTGCAGCAGTTTGGGGAGCCTGCCCTCGAGGCAGCTCACCCACCGGGTGTCACTCCTTTGCTTACAGGGACGAGACGCTGTCCGGCAGTGAACTGACTGCGAAACTCGAGCCTGCCTTCCTCTCTGGGCTGCGCTGTGCCCAGCCTCTCATCAGGGCAAAGTTTTTTGAGGTTTTTGACAACTCTATGAAACGTCGGGTCTACGAGCGCCTGCTTTATGTGACCTGTTCCCAGAATTGGGAGGCCATGGGGAACCACTTCTGGATTAAGCAGTGCATCGAGGTAGGATGTGCTCAGCCCTGTGGCTGGGGTGCTGAAGCCGGGAGGTGATCACACAAGCTGAGATAAATAAAGCTCCACCATAAAGCTGCTTTTAATCTCTAATGAGAAGAAGAAAAAAGACTTGAAGCTGTGTTTTCACCTAAAGCTTTTTTTGGGTGATTTTTTTAAACCCTTAAAACAGAAAACTGAATAATATTCCATAGTTTATAGCTGACGATGCATTTTTCCTGAAATGTAAAAATTGTAAATTCTGTCTATGTGCCCCAGAAAATTTAATGTACTGTAGTTGTCGGCTCTCATGATTCTTAAAACAGGAAGGTAGAGCAACCAGGCCAGAGTGGCTGCTGGTGTGAGGAGCTGGTGCCCAGTGACGGAGGCCTGATGGTCAGGCCATTCCCCCGGGCTGCAGGTCACATGTCTGACCTCCTTACGGGACTATAGTGGAGGCTCCTTGTTCGCTGGTACTTGGGTCATCTGTCCTTTCTTTGACTTAATCACCAGCTTCCTGCACCAGGTGACCAACCTCGTTTCCTGTAGCAGGTTACCGATGCTGTGCAAATGGTTCTAGTCCACTTACCTAGAATGAGTGAAGCCAGAAGGTGAACGGATTATCTTGTCTAATGAGACAAGATTGTGAGATTTTCTTTGAGGGAAAAGAAGGGAGTTGTGGCACTGGGTGTCAGTGAGAGCTTGTTTTCCATTTGTGCTGAATGTACGTGTTCTTAGTGCTGTAGACAGCATGTATCCAGAACGTGGCTAGTGGCTACACGTCGGGTACAGTTCCCGGTTTAGCCATCAGTCACTCAGGAGACCTGTCAGTTGCGATTGTGTTTTGGGCCTGGGGTTGGGCACCACAAGTACAGGGATGGAGGGGACACTGGCCGAGGCATGTCCCTAGGAGCTGAAAGGGGAGGGGGCGCCTCCAGGGTGCAAGCCAGGAATCCTCTTTCCTTCTCCCCTTCGTCCTGTGTGTTTGCTCCATCACAGCTTGGCACCAGTTCACAGCCACACACCTCTCTCCCTTACCTCTGCTGCCTCCCAGCTGTGGCGCCATCGTTGCTCACAAGGATGACAGGAAGGGTTTCCTTTGTGTTCATCCATCTTCCCTCTTACCCACCAGTTTTTTTATTGTTGCAAAATTGTCCTTAAAGAAGAAAGCCAATCGTGTCCGCCCTTGCCTCAGGTTGTACTTGGCACAAATCCAGCCTCCAAAGATACGGAATTGCTGGCCCCCGAGTGACCAGGCCCTCGCCTGTCTCCAGCCCTCTGCTGTCCCTCCCTCCCTCCCTCCCCTCATTAGTCCCCCGCCTTGCTGGCCCTTCAAGTTCTCAGACATGCCACCATGACACGCAGGCCAAAGCGGGCGGGCACCCTTTGTTGTTGGCCTGCCCGGCTCAGCCACACTGTCACCATGAGAAGGTGTTTATGCTGGTCTTGTCCTTCCTTCTGACACTTCACCTCCACAAGGGCAGGGGACACCATCTCTGTGAAGTGAACAGATGAATCTCCAGGGCCTCATAACAGCACCTACTGGGTGCTCAGTAAATATCTGCCAAAAGAATGCAAGAGTGGCTTGGGGGGCAGCATGAGCACAGGCCGGGTGGTGGAGCGTGTTAGGGTGTGGGGATGGTCTCCAAAGTGTTCCATGTAGGTGGGGAGTGTCACATTAGGGAAGATCTTGTGAGCCACACTGAGGAGCTCGCATTGTCCCCTGAGAGATTTGAAGCCATCAGAAGGCGAGGGAGGGGCCCTGAGGTCAGCTGTGTAGAGGAAGGTGGGTTTGAGAAGAGTTAAGTCAGGATGAGCTAGGTAGTTACATCCAGGAGGTGATGGCTGCCTACGTCTTCAGGAGGTTTAAGGGGCAGGACTTGGTGACAGGTTTGCGGGGGGCGAGTGAAGGAGAAGTAGGTGGATGAGGCAAAGGTTTCTCTCTGGGAGGAGAGATGCCTCTGAGAGGAAGCCCATCTGGTAGGAAGGGCACTGTGCTTACAATCAGATGTGGAGTCAGTGGGACCTGAGTGGCGGACATCTGAAGGGTGGCGGTGGCTCAAACTCTGCCCCAGCTGCATAGTAGCCAAGGGCAGAGCTGCAGGCGCAGGGGGAGTCTGCACATGGGAGCCGCTTGGGCATTACCTCTGCATCCCAAATCCCCACCTGCCAGGCCCGTGTCCAACATTTGTCTTCTTTTTCCTAAACCTCTTCAGCTTCTCTTGGCCGTGTGCGAGAAGAGCACGCCCATCGGAACCAGCTGCCAGGGAGCCATGCTCCCGTCCATCACTAATGTCATCAACCTGGCCGACAGCCACGACCGCGCAGCCTTTGCCATGGTTACACACGTCAAGCAGGAGCCTCGCGAGCGTGAGAACAGCGAGTCCAAGGAGGAGGTGACGCTCTGGGTGGGGTGGCACCTCCTTGTCATAGCAAAATTCCCATCTCTTCTGAAGAATTTTGTATGAGCCTTAAAAGAGTTTTTTAGGGCAAGAGCAATGTATTAAAACCTGTCTCTACCAGAGTGTGGTAAAAAACCTGAGTTAGATTTTTTTTTTTCCTTATTTCATTGAGGTATGATTCACATACATTGTATTAGTTTAAGGTGTACAGACAGCATAATGATTTGACGTTTGTATATACTCAGAATGATCACCACAGTAAGTCTAGTTAACATCCATCACCATATGTAACTACAATTTTTTTTATGAGTACTTTTAAGGTTCACTCTTAGGCAACTTTGAAATATGCAGTACAGCATTATTAACTATAATCACCTTGCTGTACGTTATATCCCATGGATTTGCTTGTTTTGTACTGGAAGTTTGTACCTTGTGACCACCTTGACCTGTTTCACTTACCCTCTAGCAGCCACCAGTATGTTCCCCATATCTGTGAGGTTGGGCTTTTTGTTTTTGTTTGGTTTTTTGTTTCATTTTTGTTTTTAAAGATTCCACATGTAATTGAGATCATATGGTCTTTGTCATTCTCTGACTTACTTTACTTCGCATAAGGCCCTCAGGGTCCATCCATGTTGTCATAAGTGGCAAGATTTCTTTTTTTAATGGCTGAATAACTTCCCATTGTCTATATATGCCACATCTTTATCCATCCATGGATGGACATTTAGGTTGTTTCCATTCAATTAGATTTTTTAAAGTTAGAAGTGATAAGCATCCCACAGTGCCATTCAGTTCTGAGACAGATCACTTATGGTGAGCCTGTATTTCTTAGTACAGGATATTTTACTGTATGGTGAGTTTTCTGTCCAGGTGAGAAGTAGCCCCTGTTGTATCTTGATGGCTCTCAGTGGTCCATGACAGAGCGGCTGACGCTGAAGACACAGATCTTTAAGCCACATGTGGTTGACATTGTTGGCTCCCGGAAGCCCAGTCTCTCTGGGGTGTTGGGTTCAGAGGACACCACGCGTTATGGAAGGAGAGGGCCCCGCTTGGCTCTCAAAGGGGCAGTTCGTTCCCTCTCCTGTATGTGGCATAGCCCGTCATTTTATTAACAAGTCAGAATTTAAAATTCTCTTCACTATTGCTAAACACCAGATCATTTATTTGGTGGTAATGATTTTCTTTCTGTAATTCTCCTGTGTGGAGTAAATTTCTGACTTTGAGGTGATTCTTCTGCATTTTCAAGAGTATGTACCAAACAGTTGATAACTTGACTCAGAGTCAGTTTGATGAATGAATCTTGACTGTGGCTCCCCAGACTCTTGAGACAGAAATAAGGTTTGTTCCCTTTTGGGAAAGTCATAGAAAGCATTGTGCCAGTGAGGTTCTGTGCAGGGGCCCCGACGGGGTTCTTAATCTGCATGCCAGGCAGCTAGGCACCTGTACACATTCTGAGGAATGGTAGACTGTAATTCCTAATACTCTTTATTAGTTTTACTGTCTAAAGTTTGTATTTCCTTTTTTATTTTGCTTTCCCTAATCTAAATATGAAAACAAAAGGTGGTATTTTCCAAGTGTCATTTAAAAGAGAGAGAGGTAGGTCTGGTCTAGCTATTCTGCTTGTTGGTTTATTTTAGAATTCAAGATCAGTTAAATAATTATAAACTTCTAGGAAACTAACACTTGACTTGCCCAAAGTGTGACAAGAAGTTTACAAGAGTTGTGTTTGTTGGATTTCCTTGAACTATTTGACCTTCTGGCTTTGCCTATTTGTGTTTGTTTTTTAGGATGTAGAGATAGATATTGAACTAGCTCCTGGAGATCAGACCAGCACACCCAAAACCAAAGAACTTTCTGAGAAGGACATTGGAAACCAGCTGCATATGCTAACCAACAGACATGACAAGTTTCTTGATACTCTCCGGGAGGTGAAGGTCTGTGTGCAAGTTTGGAGGGATAGGTATTTTCTTCCCCTGAATATTTGCACAGCAGAGTACAGTTTCCTTTCATTTGCAGTTGACAGCACTATAGGTCTGTGAGACTCTGAAGTGGATATTTTATGTAAAGATGGGAGAAAAGAATTGCAGAGTCTTATGGGAGAAAATAAGGAAAAGAGATCAATTTCTCCACTGCTGTCCTTTGAAAGAAATGGTAACATTGTTTACTAAAAATAGGTGATAAGAGGTTGCTGGGTTATTTTTCAAGTGCAATAAAAAGAGGGAATGAGAATTGGTTAATGTAGTAAATGAAGTCCACTTTTGGGGGAAGGACCTCCAAATGTATCTAACTGAAATCTAGCCAGTTAGAAACTCTGGCTCAGTTCTGAGACAGATCACTTATGGTGAGCCTGTATTTCTTAGTACAGGATATTTTACTGTATGGTGAGTTTTCTGTCCAGGTGAGAAGTAGCCCCTGTTGTATCTTGATGGCTCTCAGTGGTCCATGACAGAGCGGCTGACGCTGAAGACACAGATCTTTAAGCCACATGTGGTTGACATTGTTGGCTCCCGGAAGCCCAGTCTCTCTGGGGTGTTGGGTTCAGAGGACACCACGCGTTATGGAAGGAGAGGGCCCCGCTTGGCTCTCAAAGGGGCAGTTCGTTCCCTCTCCTGTATGTGGCATAGCCCGTCATTTTATTAACAAGTCAGAATTTAAAATTCTCTTCACTATTGCTAAACACCAGATCATTTATTTGGTGGTAATGATTTTCTTTCTGTAATTCTCCTGTGTGGAGTAAATTTCTGACTTTGAGGTGATTCTTCTGCATTTTCAAGAGTATGTACCAAACAGTTGATAACTTGACTCAGAGTCAGTTTGATGAATGAATCTTGACTGTGGCTCCCCAGACTCTTGAGACAGAAATAAGGTTTGTTCCCTTTTGGGAAAGTCATAGAAAGCATTGTGCCAGTGAGGTTCTGTGCAGGGGCCCCGACGGGGTTCTTAATCTGCATGCCAGGCAGCTAGGCACCTGTACACATTCTGAGGAATGGTAGACTGTAATTCCTAATACTCTTTATTAGTTTTACTGTCTAAAGTTTGTATTTCCTTTTTTATTTTGCTTTCCCTAATCTAAATATGAAAACAAAAGGTGGTATTTTCCAAGTGTCATTTAAAAGAGAGAGAGGTAGGTCTGGTCTAGCTATTCTGCTTGTTGGTTTATTTTAGAATTCAAGATCAGTTAAATAATTATAAACTTCTAGGAAACTAACACTTGACTTGCCCAAAGTGTGACAAGAAGTTTACAAGAGTTGTGTTTGTTGGATTTCCTTGAACTATTTGACCTTCTGGCTTTGCCTATTTGTGTTTGTTTTTTAGGATGTAGAGATAGATATTGAACTAGCTCCTGGAGATCAGACCAGCACACCCAAAACCAAAGAACTTTCTGAGAAGGACATTGGAAACCAGCTGCATATGCTAACCAACAGACATGACAAGTTTCTTGATACTCTCCGGGAGGTGAAGGTCTGTGTGCAAGTTTGGAGGGATAGGTATTTTCTTCCCCTGAATATTTGCACAGCAGAGTACAGTTTCCTTTCATTTGCAGTTGACAGCACTATAGGTCTGTGAGACTCTGAAGTGGATATTTTATGTAAAGATGGGAGAAAAGAATTGCAGAGTCTTATGGGAGAAAATAAGGAAAAGAGATCAATTTCTCCACTGCTGTCCTTTGAAAGAAATGGTAACATTGTTTACTAAAAATAGGTGATAAGAGGTTGCTGGGTTATTTTTCAAGTGCAATAAAAAGAGGGAATGAGAATTGGTTAATGTAGTAAATGAAGTCCACTTTTGGGGGAAGGACCTCCAAATGTATCTAACTGAAATCTAGCCAGTTAGAAACTCTGGCTCCCACGGACTCTCAGATTAATTATAAGTGTGATCGTCTTGAGGTAATGACTCTGAGAATCACTTAAGGCTCCATATCCCAGGCTGCTTTTGGAAGAGTATTGCAAAACAACAGCGATGATTCTGGTTCACGTCAGGAACTAGGTGAAAAGATGATAAACCCCTTACTACAAATAATTTTTACGTCTGATCTTTTCTGGTGCTCCGTCCTTGAATTTGTGCAGTAAATCAAACTTTGCACCTGGATCTGAGTCACATAGTTGTGGTGTTGGGTAAACACAAAACGCTTGGTCTTCTGTGAGAGACTGTCATGCGTGGATGCCGTGCTCTGTTCTCAGGCTGAAGACTCTGATAGACCCATCCCTTCTGCTGTCCCTGCCTGGAAGAGGGGTTGGGATCCATGCCCCAAGACCAAAGGCCTTCTTGGCTGATGGTCACCGTGATAAGGCACCGTGTAGATACTGATTCATTGGCACAAGGGTGGTAATCAACTCATTGTGGAAGGTCATCAGAGTACATGTCAGCAGGATGCTGCTCAAAAGTGTCTTCATTTAGTTGGTTTCATGCATTTAAACATTTTCCTTGGCTGAGTGAGTCACGGCTGTGTGCTTCCTCACCTTTGGGACCTCGCTGCCCCTGGCCTGGGGCTGGGGTGCACACGGGACGTGGCTGCCATGGAGGTCGTCCCCCCCGCCGCCCCTCCGTCTGGCGTCAGGCCCTGCCCTTTCTGAGACAGTTACTCAGGCTCTGGCCTCATTTTCCTTGTTCCCATCTTTTACATTTTATCTTACTGAGCCATTCAAACACTTACTGAGTGCCTGCTGCGTACCAGGCACTGCTCTGGGCACTGGAAATAGAACTGAACACACAGGTGAGAGCTGCCGGCCCTCATCAGGCTTCTGTTCTGGCGTGCAGGATGGTAACAAACAGAGGTGACGTCGGTGTGTACTGCATCAAGTGGTGCCGTGGAGGAAAGCAAAGCAGCCAGGAGTCTCGGAATTGGAGGGGGTGGTGTTCATGTTATTTCAGCTCATAAGCATTTATGGAGTTATTTTTCATACATTTTTTGTAGAGTAAGGTGGGGTTATAAATCACTGCATTCATAGTTTTGACCTTGACATATTCATTCCTGAAGTAGTTTTGCCCCAAAGTGGTCAGCAGCCAGCTGGCTCCTCTGGACTCTGTTTCTAGGCCCAGAGGGCCTGGGAGGCACCCCTGCTCTTCCTCGGCTGTGGGCGTCCTGTCCTGGGGTCAACCATCCTCCTTTCAGGGGGAGGTCTGTCAGAGCCGCTGTCCCCTTGCTGGTGTCCATGGTGAGGCAGAGCCCCCGCGGCATCCACCTACCTTTCACTTGTCTCTGCAGTAGTGTGTAAATGAGAGTGAGCCGTAGACCTGGAGAATCCCCCACCCACAGCTCAAGATGAGTTTTCACCGGCAGATCTGTGACCTTGTGTGGTCAGTGCTTGTGGCCTCTGCTAAAGTGACTGGGAGCCAAGAGGCCCCTGACATGCTGGCCAGGGTGCAAGGGGCAGTCACGTGACGTCAAGCAGACTCGTTTCGTCCTGGCCTTCCCCACTGGCAGCCTGAGCTTCAGATTTGTCACTTAAGTGTGTTTACTTGTTCCCCTCGAAGTATTGCTGTCACTGGTCTCTGCAGTTTTAATGGAAATGTGGCTGTGAGGGTGACTGCCCACACATCTGCTGTGGAGGAGGGGAAGCATAATTGTGAAGTGTGTGTCCTGCGTGAGGGTCTGGGGCCCTGTGGGCTTCAAGCAGGCTGCAGCCTGCCTGTGTATAGGAAATGTTGGCATCTAATTCAGGTGTTTAAAAACAAAGCCATAGACAAAAACAGCCGTATCTGGATTTGGTGCCCCCTTCTTCAGGCCCTTCGTGCCCAGCCCAGCCCTGTCTGCAGGGCACCGCATCCGGTCCAGGCACATGCTGCCCCTTGTCCCTGGTCAGTCACACAGACTGAGCTGTTGTGGTTCTTGGCTTGTTCTTCAGAATTGCACCTGTTAGCAGATAGTGTACCTCTGTGCGTGTGCTTCTCTTCTCTCACATTCCCAGCGCCTCTGCGCCAATGGCATCTGTGTGATCTTGGCACTTTGCACGTGGGCATTGTGTTCCCCCTTCTCAGATATGTTGAGAAATGCCCTTTAAGGTTAAGAAACGTGGGCCTGTGACTGCTGAGCCCCTCCCACGGCTGCCTGGCTGCTAAACACCTGTGACCTTGGGTGCTTGGAATAGTGTTCTCACTCTGCCCTCAGATCTTTGAAAGTTTGAAAGTGGAGGGGTGCCTGCTGCAGTGGGGGCTGGTGGAGTCTGCTGGGCACGGATGCATGGGGCTCCTGGTGGCAGGATTTTTGCACCGGCCTGCGCCCAGCCACACTAACCTCATTTCTGTCTGTAGACAGGGGCGCTGCTCGGTGCTTTCGTGCAGCTGTGTCACATTTCCACAACACTGGCCGAAAAGACATGGGTCCAGCTTTTTCCCAGATTGTGGAAAATTCTGTCTGACAGACAGCAGCATGTGAGTATATTGTTTAAGATCCTGCTTTGGACAGTGCTTCATTTTAGCTTTTGATTAAGTATTTGTGAATGAAAATGATCTTGATAATGTTTCAGAGGATGAGGAAACTACTGAGTGTTACCTAAGAATTACCAAACTATAGTCCCAGATGCTGTGTGAGAGCAGAGATGTGCTGAGTTTTGAGGAAGCCCTGAGCTCACATGCTGTCTGGTTTCAGGCTCTGGCTGGTGAGATCAGTCCGTTCCTGTGCAGCGGCAGCCACCAGGTACAGCGGGACTGTCAGCCCAGCGCCCTGAACTGCTTCGTGGAGGCCATGTCCCAGTGTGTCCCTCCGATCCCCATCAGGCCCTGCGTCCTGAAGTACTTGGGGAAGACGCACAACCTGTGGTTCCGCTCCACATTAATGCTAGAGCACCAGGCTTTTGAAAAAGGTCTGAGTCTTCAGATTAAACCGAAGCAAACAACAGAATTTTATGAACAGGAGAGCATAACTCCCCCTCAGCAGGTGAGGCCTCACCTTGTTTTAAGTAGTCTTCTCTCCAGTGACTTCAGGGTTTCAATAAACATTCCCAATGATTTTAAAGTACAGGACAACAAAGTTGCTTTACTAGGAAAACAAGGTTTTGTCACGAGCAGTCAGAAGCCATGATCTGTGTTTTCAGGAGATACTGGATTCCCTTGCTGAACTTTACTCTCTGTTACAAGAGGAAGATATGTGGGCTGGCTTATGGCAGAAGCGGTGCAAGTATTCAGAGACAGCGACTGCTATTGCTTATGAGCAGCATGGATTCTTTGAGCAGGTAGCCACTGCTGAGCAAAACGGCTGGGTTATGTGGTTGGTGAAGGATCGTTTATAGTATCTGTTCAATACGGTGTCCTTGAGTCAGAGTTCACGTTTTAGCAAGAAGCTTACTGTTCTATTTGAAGCATTTATCCTATGTGTAAAAGCCCTTTGAAGTCTCGATTTTAAGATAAACGTGCACATATGCTACAGACATTTAAAGCCGCATCCTAAACCCTTCACTGTCAGTTGCGAACGGGGGTGCTTTTTATCTGCAGTCCATGACTCTGTTGGAAGTGGTAGGTAGACTGCTTTTGGTGTTTAAACTTCAGTCCTTGTGTTTGTCCTTTCAATGTAGTGGAGCCAGCATCACAGGATTTGGTCCTCAGCCCTGTGTGGGACACTGGGCCTCAGAAACCCCAGAAGCACAGGCCCGTCTGTGGCCCCTGCTCTTGTCTGCAGGACAAGACTGACCCCGGGGTCCTGCCTGCCCCTCTGGATCCATGTGGGGCTTACACGTCCTCTCTCCTCCTCCCGTTCTCTCCCAGGCTCTGGGAGGAGAGTACCCCAGGCTCCATGCCCTCCACAGAGCAGGGGCCCTCTCAGGCCTGTGAGCCAGTTTGCCCTAAATAACTGAACAGTGGCTGAGCAGAAGTTCTTAGTAGAACTGCAGCTTGAGAGCGTTGTTAACTTTTTTAGGCCCAAGAATCCTACGAAAAGGCGATGGATAAAGCTAAAAAGGAACATGAGAGGAATAACGCGTCCCCTGCTATTTTCCCAGAATACCAGCTTTGGGAGGACCACTGGATTCGGTGAGCTGCACAGCACTGGATGTATTGAAGAGTCGGTTGAGGAACCAGTAAAAAAATGTCTGAAAATTCCTCATAATGAGTGTTGTTTTTTTTTTTAAAAGGGGAACCTTGCTCCTTTTTTTATGGCCCCGTAAAGAAAAGAGCAGTTGAAAATCTGAAATAGCTTTAAAGTCTTGAGTAATTAACAGTGTGCATTGTAGAAACAGTGTGTGGTCCTGCCTCCACTGGCCCGGGTGCCAGAGCTCTGCTGGGCAGCGGGCGGTCCTGCTATCCTGGGGGTGTTTCTTCCAGACAGCAGGCAGCTCAGTGCCGTGGCCCACCACAGTGTCCCACAAAGCCCACCTTTTGCTATGTGGGGGAAAGTATTTGTTTTCCTTCTACAGAATGGAAATAAAGGATTTAAAATCCCATCCCCCACTTTCTGAACCTGTTGGTGTTGGAACTGAGGTTTTTGCTGGAATCCCTGATCTTCTAGGTGCTCTAAGGAGTTGAACCAGTGGGAAGCTTTGACGGAATACGGCCAGTCCAAAGGTCACATAAACCCCTACCTCGTCCTGGAGTGTGCTTGGCGGGTATCCAACTGGACCGCCATGAAGGAGGCCTTGGTGCAGGTGAGCCGACCCTCCCACACTCAGGGCACATGCCCCAGCTGCATGAGCTACTTTTGCCAAACTGTGCATCCTCTGGAGATCTCACTGGGAGCAAGCTGGGCATTCTGGCAGGTGAAAGATAGCTCTCTTGGGAAGCAAGCGCTATTTTTAGGTATTGTTCCTAATTTTGTTAAGATTTAGGAGTTAAATTAAGTGTTCATTGTTTGATGGTAGCAGTGCCACGTGTGGGGACTTTGGATTCTGTGAGAAAGCCATTTAATGGTGCCTGGAGAAATCTGGGAGAAAGCAACTTAACTGGAGGACTCAGTGGGAAGAAACACAGCTGGGGGTGTGGCAGCTGACAGGAGCCTGTCCTGGGCGGTCAGCCCAGAGGCTGTGAGACAGGTGCACCTAACAGGATCATGTTGGAAGCAGATGTGTCACCTGTGTGCCTCCCTGACTACCTTCCACATGGGGTTACTAGATCAGAGGGGGGCCATGAATGCAGCTGTGCTTTCAAACATGTCAGACAAACAAGCCAAAGAGCTGTATAAAAACACGCAATGGCATTATCGTTATACTTAGGTCATTTGGACAGATGGTATTATGGCGCTAAACTGTATGATTTTATTGTTTTGCAAAGTTGCTTCAGTGTCACTGATCTTGTTGCAGCAGGTCCTATAAAATTCCCTCAACAGGTGACCTTCTCCTTACACACACACCGATGGCTTTGGAAAAGACTCATTTTTTATCATTTATGTCTTAAATGCTGTGTGAGAGATGGATAAGATGCAATGGGTTCCAGCACTCTCTGTAGAACATGGTGGCCGAAGGGTGGGGGGCACAAGCGGGGCACATGGAGCCTTTACCTGGCCCACAGCCGTCAGAGCTGGGGCAGCTCCAGGCTTGGTTTGCCTCATGGCAGAGCTGATAACCAGGACCCAAGAAATCTGCCAAAGTGCAGCTTTTCAATGACAATAAAATCTGTGAATGTTCACTAATATTCTTATGAACCTGAATCATGGCCACCTTCTTCCGTGTGTAATGTAGAACAAGTCAGATACATTTCCCAGGATAACAATGTGAATTGGAAACAATCCACAATTATTCCTATTTTATCAGAGTGGTGATGAACGTATATTTAATACTTTGAAAATTCATTGGCTGACTTTGTAGGCGGGTGTTGATTGTTAATCTGGTCTATCATAATAGTGTTAATTGGTTTCCCTCTTTGTCGGAGCTGATGACCTCAGAGCAAGGAGCCTATGGGATGCCTTTGTAGCTGGGGAGATTGGCCACTCTCTCGTATTCGGAAAAGAAGAGTATCTAGAAAACGCAGTCTAAATACATGACTTCCCTAAAGAAAATAAATGTCTGTTATAGATTAATTTCTGTTTATTGCTTTGCATAATTGGCTACCAAATACACTGGCTTTCCTTTTTGACCCTTTATACTAAGAGGGAGAATCCCATCGCTTCCTATGTAATGTTCTTTCGCCACCAGGTGGAAGTAAGTTGTCCCAAGGAGATGGCTTGGAAGGTGAACATGTACCGTGGATACTTAGCCATCTGCCACCCCGAGGAGCAGCAGCTTAGCTTCATCGAGCGCCTGGTGGAAATGGCCAGCAGCTTGGCCATCCGTGAGTGGCGGCGGCTGCCCCATGTGGTGTCTCACGTGCACACGCCACTTCTCCAGGTGGGTGGGCTGCACTGTGAGCCCAGTACCTCCTGGCCAGGCTCCGGTTTAAACTGACGTACCCAGCAGGCAGGAAGCTCTTTCTGCTTGTCTTGCTTGTCTCTTCTCATTTAAACTTGTCTTCAGCAAAAGGAGGCCAGAGCTGAGGTTTAAGGTTGGGGGTTCACACGAGCAGTGCTCGAGGCGAGGAATAAATGCAGAGTCCAAGGTATCTGTGTGAGTTAGAGGGCCTCCTGGTGAGTGAGTCATGAGGTCTTTGTAACCGGCAGGTTCCTGATTCACTCTGCAGTTTATTTTCCTCATTTAGTCTTTACTGCAATGCTGACGTGGACTCTATGCTGGACCCATTTAGGCTGCCCAGCAAATCATTGAACTTCAGGAAGCTGCTCAAATAAATGCAGGCCTTCAGCCAACCAACCTGGGGAGGAACAACAGCCTGCACGACATGAAGACTGTGGTGAAGACCTGGAGGAACAGGCTGCCCATCGTGTCCGACGACTTGTCCCACTGGAGCAGCGTCTTCATGTGGCGGCAGCATCATTACCAGGGTAAACCTACCTGGTCCGGCATGCATTCATCATGTAATTTCCAGACGCCCCCACTGTTCTGGTTTCATGTCTTGGTTTTGTTTTGTTTTATCTTTCACTGGATTCTCTATGTTTCGGCAGGTGTGGTTAGATGGTGGTCAGTGTGGCCAGGGTGAGGACAGAGGTGTGAGAGACAGGAAGGCCTTCCCCCACCTGTCCCACTTTTCTAGCTAGAACAGAATTGCTGCCAGACACACCCATTGCAATGTAGCTGGAGCTCTGGGCTGTGACACTGTTTAGTAATCCCCCGAAGAAGAGCTGCTCTCAGGTGGCTCTGTGTAGCCCTCTCCAGCTTCCTGGCCCTCTGCTCATCCCCTAAACCTGCCAGACATCTCTTTAGAACGCCGTTTGCGATTCAGTTAGCCAAGATGGTAGTGCTCAACAGTCCATGCTCCTTATGTCTGTCTTTTGATATAAAATAAAAGACAGTAATGAGGGTCTGCCACAGAACGTCCTGTTTCCATAAGCCATAAGTGTTTTGTTTTTCATGTTTTATTTATGATTTATTGTAGAACACCGAAAAATGGTTGACTTGGACTGACAACTCATTTCTTTGCTCTCTAGCTATTGTAACTGCATACGAAAATAGTTCTCAGCATGATCCAAGTTCAAATAATGCTATGCTTGGGGTTCACGCATCAGCTTCTGCAATCATCCAATATGGAAAAATTGCCCGGAAACAAGGACTGGTCAATGTGGCTCTGGATATATTAAGTCGTATTCATACTATTCCAACCGTTCCTATCGTGGATTGCTTCCAGAAGATTCGACAGCAAGTCAAATGCTACCTCCAACTGGCAGGAGTCATGGGGAAAAACGAGTGTATGCAGGTAGGGCGCCCACAGGACCTGCACCCCTGCCCAGGGGGGCTTGGGGATGAAGAAAAAGTGTCTGTGGGAAACTACTGGTTCAGGTAGTAGAGAAAGGGGATTCAAATTTTCTGTAAACACAGTCTTTATGGTTTTGTCCTTCTAAGACAAGAAAGGGAAAGGAAACTACTGGGGTATTTGAATTAATAACATTTTATGGTCTCTATTCTACTGTATACTTGGTTAATGTATTTAAGGAAAGAAAATTAAAAACTGCAGAATTATGAGGATCTATTTGGGCTGTGTTCAGAGGAATTTTAATAAAAACAATGAGTCTGACTATAGACATACAAAGCTTTGCAGAAAATAATATCCTTTAAGTGTTTAGAACTGAGTTTGGCATTTAGTAATGGAGTTTAATTAAACACTACTTGTCAGTCAGATATTCATGATAGGCAAGTCTGCTGTTAGTTTAAAGGTTACATATCAGTAACCTTTAGGTCTTATTTCCTAGATAAGTATTTTAATGAAGCTTTCACATTATTATCTAGAAACTTCAAGAACTCTTTTTCTACTCTTTTTTTTTTTCTAGGTATCATTGATATATAATCTTATGCTCAGATTTCATATGAGCAACATTGTGGTTGCTACATTCCCCCTATTAGCAAGTCCCCCCCATGTACCCCATTGCAGTCACTGTCCGTCAGCACAGTAAGCTTCCCTGTGCTGTACTAAGGAAGCTTTATTTCTGAAGACTTGTCTAGGGAGAAAGAGAAGCTGTCAAGCATTCTTAGAGTTACTAAGAAGCATAGTAATACCATTTATTTTGTCCTCTCCCTCTTTTTTTTTATTCATTTTATTATCATTAATCTACAATTACATGAAGAACATTATGGTTACTAGACTGCCCCCTTCACCAAGTCCCCCCCTCGACAAACCCCATTGCAGTCACTGTCCATCAGCATAGTAAGATGCTGTAGACTCACTACTTGCCTTCTCTGTGTTGCACAGCCCTCCCTATGCCCCCCACCACATTATACATGCTAATCGTAATGCCCCCTTTCTTTTTCCCTGCCCTTATCTCTACTCTTTTTTTTAAACAGGGCCTTGAAGTTATTGAATCTACAAACTTAAAATACTTCACAAAAGAGATGACAGCTGAATTTTATGCACTGAAGGGAATGTTCTTGGCTCAGATCAACAAGTATGTATGTCACACAGGAGGAGGGACCGGGGCTTCGGGTTACTTAGATAGTTCTTTATAATGGTAAGTCATGGTGTAGCTCAAGCTATAAATTGGTGTGGTTTTATGATAGTTGTTGGGTGTGGTATTTCTGGTATTATACCTCTGAAGCTAGTACCTTGGAGCAGAATAAGCCAGTTTGATGTTTAGTGCTTAAACAAGCTTTTTAAAAACAAGTGGCCTGAACACAGAACTGCTGAAGGCATGGATTCATTTCCCTGTTTTCTCAGCATGACAGTTTTTAACAGTTGATTGATTGCTTTAATGGATATGGAGTCTTGTTTTGGAGGTCAGTTGACCTGTGGCCTGCAGGCCAAATCTGGTTTTTGCAAATGGCCTATTGGAACACACCCACACCCCTTGACACTGTGGCTGCTTTCATGCTACAGCTGCAGAGTTGAGTAATTAAAAGAGAAGTTTCATCGCCCACAGAGCCTGAACCATTGGCTGGCCCATTACAGAAAAAGGTCACAGAGCTCTGTTTTAAAGCCAGAAACATGAGATGAAATTTTGTTACAATTAGGATACAAATAAAATAAACTTACAAGATGCTGCAGATTGCCAAATAGAGAGCTTTAGAGCCCACTTTCCACAATTTTAGTTGGTAAGCGTCACATTTTTAGCTTATATTTAAATGAAGTGCGTTTTGTTGAGATAGAAGGGTTTTATCTTTTTTTAATGTTTTAAATTCACATGACATAAATTACACTGTTTGAAAGGGTACAATTCAGTGGGTTTTAGTGTATTCATGGTATTGTGCCATCACCACTTAATTCTAGAATATCACCCCCAAAAGAAACCACATATCTGTTAGTCTCTCCCCATCTTCCCTCTCTTTTGTCCCCTGACAACCAGTAGTCTACTTTCTGTCTCTGTGATTCACCTATTTTGAATATTTCTTACAAATAGAATCATACACAGTGTGGCTTTTTGTGTCTAGCTTCTTTCACTCAGCTTGATGCACTCAAGGCTCCCCAGCGTTGTAGCGCACGCCAGTACTTCACTCCTTTGCATGCGTGATTGATATCCCATTGCATATCCATATGTTTTATTTAGCCATTCAGCAATTGATGGACATTTGTGTAGTTGACACTTCTAGCTATTAGGAATAACACTGCTGTGGACATTCATGTACAAGGCTTCATGTGAGCACGTTTTCAGTTTTCCTGGATGTATACCTAGGAGTGGAGTTGCTGGTCATATGGTACTTCCTTGCTTATCTTTTTGAGAAACTGCCAAATGGTTTTCCATAGAAGATATGCCATTTTACATTCACACCAGCAATGTTTGTAGTTTCCAATTTCTCCACATCCTGGCCAGCATTTGTTAGTTTCCATTTTTCTGATTGTAGGCATCCTGGTGAGTGTGAAGTGGTGCCTCATTGTGGTTTCGATTTGCATTTTCCTAGGAACTAAGGATGGTTAGCATGTTTTGTGTGCTTATGTGCCATTTGTCTATTTCTCCATAGAAATGTCTTAGTTATTTTGCCCTTTTTCTAGGGCAAAAAAAATTGACTTCTTATTATCCTAATTTTTATGTGTCTGGTTCTAAGTGTCTTCCAGATAAATCATTTGCAAGTATTTTCTCACATTCTGCAGGCTCTCTTCCCTTTCTTAATAGTGTCCTTAATGCAAAAAGCTTATTTTGATGGAGTCCAGTTTACCTGTTTTTCTCTCATTGCTTGTACCTCTGGTGTCAGTGCTAAAGCACCAGTGGCCAACCCAGGGTCACAAGCAATTACTCCTATGGTTTCTTCTAGGAGTTTTACAGGTTTAGCTCTTATATTTAGATCTTTAATTCATTCCGAGTTAATCCTTATTGACTGGCATAAGGTCTAATGGCCCATAGTCACTCTTCTGCATGTTTACCTGCTGTTCCAGCCCCATTTGTTGAAAAGACTGTTCTTTCCCCATTGAATGCCTTTGGCACGCTTGTTGAAAAGTAGTGGACCAGGAAAGCACAGGTTTATTTCAGGTCTCACTCCTCTTCCGTTGGTGCATGTCCATCCCTAAGCCGGCATTGCACTGTGGTGGTTACTGTTGCTTTGTAAGTTTTGAAATTGGGAAGTGTTCTCTTCAACTCTGTCCTTTTTCAGGATTGTTTTGGCTATTTGGGGTCCTTTATACTTACATATGGACATTAAGTTATCTATTTCTGCAAAAAAGGCAGTCACAGTTATGATAGGGGTTGTTTTGAATGTGTACGTTGATTTGGGGAGCACTGCTGTCACAACAGTACTGAGTCTTCCAGTCCGTGAACACAGGATGTGTTCACCTTTATTTCATTTAACAATGTTCTTTAGTCTTCAGTGTATAAGTCTTGCATTTCTTGTGTTGTTTATTCCTAGATATTTTATTCCTTTTGATGTTTTTATAAATCACTTTTTAAGTTTTTATGTTCAGATTCTACATTGCTATGATATAAAGAATGTTATTGAATTCATTTATTTGCTCTAATAGTTTTCTTCAGTGATTTCTTTAGGGTTTTCTGTGTATGAGATCATGTTATCTTGCAAATAGAGGTAGTTTTATGCTTCCTTTCCAATCTAGATGCCTTTAATTTTTTTCTTGCCTTATTGTTTTGGCTGGAACTTACAGTAAAGTTAAGTATAAGTGGGGAAAGTGGGGAAAGTGGGATCCTTGCCATATTCTTGATCTCAGAGGACGGTCTTTCAGTCTTTAATCATGTAGTATGTTAGCTTGGGCTTCTCAGATGCGGCCTTTGTTTTGTTACGATCATTTTCTTCTATTCATAGTTGAGTGTTTTTATCGTGAAAGGGTGTTGGACTTTGTCAGATCCTTTTAATGCATCAGCTGAGTTGGTCTTGTTTTTCTCCTTCATTCTGTTTCTGTGGTGTATTATATGGATTTTTGTATGTGGAAGCTTGCATTGCTGGGACAAATCAGTCATGGTGTCTGATCCTTCTAATATGCTGCTGGGCTAGTATTTTGTGAAGGATGTTGCCATCTGTGTGCATGAGGGACATGAGTCTGCAGTTCCCATGTGTCATAAGGTCTTGCACATTGTTGGTATGATAGTGACATGTTCCATCTGTGTGGAAAAGTTTGGCAGTTCCTGAGGAAATCATACAGAGAGACCATATGATCCAGCACTTTGACTCCAAGGTGTATACCCAGAGAATTGGAGATGGTGTCCAGGCAGGTACTTGTTCACTGATGTTCATAGCATGGTTCACAAGAGCCATGATGTCAGAGCGACTCAAGTGCATGGGTGAACAGAATGTGGTGTATCTGTTCAGACATAAAAATGAGTGAAGTACCGACACGCTATAGCAGACAGACCTCGAGAACACTGTGCCAAGTGAAGGGAGCCAGGCATGAATAATCACATAATGTACAGCTCCATTTGTGGGAAACATGCAGGTTAGGTAGATGCCCCAAGACAGGAAGGAGCTTGGTGGTCAGCAGGGCCTGGAGGCGGGGGGATGGAGAGTGAGTGGTAGGGGTACAGGCTTCGCTTTAGGGGGATGAAAGTGTTTGGGAACCAGACAAAGGTGGTCATTGTACAGCATTTTGAATGTACTAAAAGCCCCTGAATTACTCACTTTAAAATGCTTGATTTTATGATATGTGACATTCACCTAAAAACCCCCAGGGGCTTAGGTTTTGATTTTGTCTCCTCCCAGGTCTGAGGAAGCAAACAAGGCCTTTTCTGCAGCTGTGCAGATGCACGACGTGCTTGTGAAAGCCTGGGCCATGTGGGGTGACTACCTGGAGAACATCTTCGTGAAGGAACGGCAGCTGCATCTTGGGGTGTCTGCCATCACCTGTTACCTGCACGCATGCCGGCATCAGAATGAGAGCAAATCCAGGAAGTACTTAGCCAAGGTGAGATGGAAGAACTGGCTCTGACCCAGGACTATCAGGTAGCCTTCGAGTTTGGATGCAGATTCGCCGAGGACTAATCCATGCTGGGTGTGGGTGTGATTCCGTGCCTTGACTGTCGGATCCCACCCCTCTTCAAAGTGTCTTCCATTGTTCTCTTTTAAAGCTGAGAAAACTGAGGCCTAGACATACTTGGGGTCCCAGGACTTTAAGCAGCAAAGCTGTCCCTGGAGTCTGGGTCTTTAGGACTCAGACCCATCCTGTGGGGTCTCACCCTGAACAGAGGCTCCTGGATGCTGGGGAGGGACCTCTCAGACCCCCACCAGGTCCTGATCTCTTACCTGCAGGGCAATGCAGAGTCACAGAACCAGCCGGCCCCAGTTGCAGGTGACAGTGATCACACGTTTGCCATGAACACTTGAGGATGAGGCTGTGGGTGCTGGAGTTCCCATCCCACATTGCCCCAGCACAGCACCTGGCACAGGGTTGGCAGCTGACCGGTGCCTGAAGTGGTGTTTGCTAGGGATGGATTCCCCTCAGCATTGCTCCCTCTCTTCTGTCCTCAGGAAACACATTACTAAAACCCAGAATTAACTCTTGCAGAAAACTTCAGGATAAGTTGTTCTGCTTTTGTCTTTTGTCCACTGAAGGTTTGGATTTTTTAAGAATTTCTTGCATTAATGTCAAAATGTAGAGTGAACATCAGCATGTAGAAGTTAAAGCCGACCACAGAAACACGGACCAGCTAGTATAGGGACACAGAGAGGCTGCCTAAATACTCTGAATTTGCTTATGTTCTAGATGTAATTGTTTCAGACATCCATGAACCCCTGGCTGCCTACGTGTGGCCTGTCTGATACTGGGGTGATGTCCCTCTGAGACGTTTAGCAGAAGTACTTTCTGTTCGGTGAGATCACGGGTGTGACTTGGCTGGTCGGTGGCCCTCCGCCTGTTGCCTCCTCAGAGTCACTGGCCACCACCAGGCAGCAGATCGGATCGGTCAGCAATTGGCAGTAAAGCGAAATCTACATAAAAAGTATTTTCAAATTTTAGGTTCTGTTGGTAAGATTTATATGTTAAATTTAGCAGTATTATTGGCCCTTTTATAGCTATTTTTCCACACTGCCAATAAAGCTACTCAGTATGGTATTTTCATGTTGAGGGAAAGCCACTTGATTAAGGCCTCAGGATTTTCCTTCTGCTCTGTGGTTTTTCCTTCTGCCTTAGGTGCTGTGGCTTCTGAGTTTTGATGATGACAAGAACACGCTGGCAGACGCTGTGGACAAGTACTGCATCGGTGTGCCGCCCATCCAGTGGCTGGCCTGGATCCCCCAGCTGCTCACCTGCCTCGTGGGCTCCGAGGGGAAGCTTCTTCTGAACCTCATTAGCCAGGTGGGGATAACAGGGTGGCTTGGTTCACTGAACAGCTGTCTTCATTTTATATTCTTTTCCTCTAGAAGGAAAATGTGATGCTCATAGTCCTGAACATAAGTCACAGAGACACGAAGATGTATGTATGTAGGTATCACTTGATATAAAGCATGATTAAAAGTGATTGATGGATATGTCAGGATGAAATAAAGCAATTTCTTGGGCATCACAATATTAAAATGGTAATATCTTTGCTTAAATGTGTTGCCCTTTAAGGTGCAAGTAAAGTAAACATTCTCTTAAAGCATAAGGTTACTTAGCACTCTGAGAGCACGCTCAGGTTGTGTTTCACAGATGCCTCCCTGGTGTGCACTTCCAGCTCCTCAGATCTGCTTGGACTAAATCTCACCTGTAAGAATGTGGTGGTCGCGGCCCTTTGCCAGGTTGTTCGGCTGCAGCTGTTATAGGCTGAAAGTGGGTACACTGGGTGTGGGTGGGGCTGGGGCAGACCAGGCCCTACAGAAAGGCCGTGGTGACTGTCAGAGGAGATGGTGCCGGATTGTCCCTCTCCCATGGAAAGACTGATGGGGAGAGGAAGGACCAAAAAGTGAAAGCCTGGATACAGTTCAGTCTGGGATACAGCACCTTGGGGCTGTTTTTATAAAATCCCAGCATCATACAACTTCTCACGAAGGAGCATTGTCCTCAGCGAGCATCATCCTCTGTCTGGATTACTCAGCTTTTTCCATGTGGTGCACCATCTGCATTGCCCAGAAATGGGTTTATTTTCTCCCTGAGGAGCTGTGTTCCTGGGTGCCAGAGCATCTTGGTCAGTATGTAGAGTCAGTGTTCACTAACTGTTTAGTGTGGTGAGCCAGCCACCCTGTGGCCTGGCAGAGCTGGGTGTTTTTCCCTGTCTTCTTACAGGTATGGTTTCAAAGGTCTGAGGAGTCTGGTTATATCTAGTCAGGCCTTCTGAAGGAGCCATAAAATCCCACTTTAGTAGCAGTGTTATTTCTTAGCTTAAATAGAAAACTTTCACTCTCTGTGCTGCAGTTAACACGGGGTAAAGTTACTCACCAAGGAGCCTGGTGGTCAGTTAGGAACAGTTCACAGTGCCCAGCAAGTTGTACCTCATACGCAGAATGGTGTCATTTGTCTTCTCCTGTTACTTGCCTGAGGGACATAACCCATAGGGACGAGTGCATTTTTTACTTGTTCAGATTCCCAGGATCGAATGAAGGTGCGATCTCTGTCCTCAGCCGCCCCTGGGCAGGACTGACGACGTGCGTGGTGCTGCTCTGCCTTGGATCTTTAAAGCTGAGCTAGATGCTTTACCTGCTGTTTAATCCGGCCCCATGTGTGAGCTCAGCAGTGCAGTGTTTGCTCGCTTGGTCCAGGTGCAGACCCCAGCCCATGTACGAATGGCATCGGTTGTTGTCTGTGCACGTTGTCCTCAGCCAGAAGCGTGGTGCTAAGCAGTGCCCTTTATTGCTCCATGTCTCTGAGCAGGTTGGACGGGTGTATCCCCAAGCAGTCTACTTCCCCATCCGGACCTTGTACCTGACCCTGAAAATAGAGCAGCGGGAACGCTACAAGAGCGGTACGTCTCAGATGGGGCCGGCCGGCTGCAGAGGGCGCATCCACAGGGCACTCCATGTCCAGACTGCTGTGGACACGCTCCTGCCCTCAGCGCACCTCCAGCACGTGGACCAGTCTTATCTTTAGCCAGTGAGGACACTGGGGGGTCAGAGGGCAAGGCCTGATCTTGGAGTGAAGTTTATGTTTCTCTTTTCCATGATGTATAGGGGTGTTCATTTACTGAGAGATTTCATCCATAAGTAGGAAAAAATAGATGAAATTTTTAGTTATAGATAATTACAAAGTTTAACTTGCCTCATGAGGTATAAATGTAACCTGCTCAGCAGTGCAAATGCGAGCTGCTCTGTGTATGTTACTTGGGTCATAAGGAGTGTCTTCATCTGTCAGAACCAGTACAGAAATCAAAAACCACCAGATTTAAAAACTTACTTGAAATACAAGGTTTTTTAATTTATATTGAACAGTCCCAGGATATAAAGAAATAGCTTACCTAATGGCTCAAGTGCCCACTAAGCGTGGTACTTGGTGAACAGTCAAAGCACCGTTGCTTCACAGCACTTGGCTGCGAGGCCCGTCTCTGAGAAGGTGGTCTCCCCGCCGACGGCCACAGCATCGCCCACCGACAGGCTGGGCTGGTTAGGAGATCACACAGAAGCCCGTAACGAGCCCGCTCATTGCAGCTCTGACCTGGTCTGCTGAGGTAGATCTGTGTTCTGGTCTCTTGAAAATTAAGATTTTTTAAATTGTAACTGAGCTAAAGCTAGAAAAATGGCTGTCACAGGTCTATAACATATTTCTCATACGGCTGGCAGCTCTTTGTCCAAAATACCATTTTATACATGTGTTTTGGCTTTCCTAGATTTAAAAAATGTAGACTTGCTCATTAACTACTTTTAGATTCTACTAAAAGTGAGCTATACTACACAAACGTATTGTGGAATATGTTCCCCCAAATTTAAAAATGCTCAGACTTAAGAGAGAGTGGAGTGAGCCCGTGACGCCCTCACCTGGAGCCATCGCCCAGCTTGCCACCACGCCTCCCCTCTCTCAGCATGGGCACATCCTGCTTCCCACCATAACGTTTGAAGCCAAGCTGTGGGCAGGCGCCTGTGCCCCTGAGCGCACCTCTCCTTAGACCCTGGAGCCAGGCCGCGCTTCCCACAGCCCCGGGGAAGTGGTGTCACGACGAGCCCGCTCCGGCAGGAGCCAGCGCTCCTTTGGCCGATGGGTCCTCTAGAGCCCTGTGCTCTCACGCTGGGCCAGGTTTGCGCTGACATTGGCGTTGTGTGTGTTGCTCTCAGATTCTGGACAGCAGCAGCCAAGTTCAGTGGGTAACCAGTCCCATTCTACATCAGATCCAGGGCCCATAAGAGCAACAGCCCCCATGTGGCGCTGCAGCCGAATCATGCACATGCAACGAGAGCTCCACCCGACGCTTCTGTCTTCCCTGGAAGGCATCGTCGACCAGATGGTCTGGTTCAGAGAAAACTGGCATGAGGAGGTATTTGGACATGATCTCGGGAGCGTGGCTTCTTGGCGAGGGACTGTATGGTTCTGTATTTTGTGGCCATATTATCTTTAGGTTAGCTGCCTAGTCATATTTACATATTTTTTGTTCTTGAACTAAACAGTGGAACAGGCAAATAGTTAACGTCTGTGCACTGGTGCCTTAACTATTTGAAGCAGAGTACTTCAAAATGAGATGAAATTGCGAGCACCACGTCTGTGCTTAAGTTGCCTACTTTGCTCGCTTGCCCCTGTGAGCTCAGTCACTTAGCGCCAGACGACCAGGCAGCCGCGATGGTGTGGGGAACCACCGGCTCCTGATCTCCCGTGCCAGCAGTGAGTCTCTCCAGGTCTTTTCAGCAGCCGGGCCCCCTCCTCAAAGCTGTTTGTGTAAGCTGATAATAAAATAACCAGCCCTTGTTATCCAGATGCTCCCCTAGCTGGCCATGAGGCCCCTAGTTATGACCGTTACTTTGTGTGAGCACAGCCATGCAGGCAGCACTACCCTGTCTGGATATAAGGTCTTCCGTGGCCGATCAGGAGAAGGTATATGTATGATCAAAAGAATAGGGTTTTTGTTTTTGTTTTTTTGTGACACTCAGGACACTTAGTCCTTGTTGCTGGGGACACGGCTCACTGTGTGGAGCCCGTGGGTGGCCTGTCTATTCTCTGCCCATTGGTTTTACACCTGCTGGGCACCAGGTGGCTGTCAGAATAGCCCCAGGCCAGGGTGGGATGCTAGACAGATGCATCTGGTCAGTCAGTCGCTTGGAGGGAGAGCTGTGTTTGGCGAACTGCCCCTTGTTCTTCCCACCAGGTTCTCAGGCAGCTCCAGCAGGGCCTGGCGAAATGTTACTCTGTCGCATTTGAGAAAAGCGGGGCTGTGTCTGATGCCAAAATCACCCCCCACACTCTCAATTTCGTCAAGAAGCTGGTGAGCACGTTTGGGGTGGGCCTGGAGAACGTGTCCAATGTCTCCACCATGTTCTCCAGCGCCGCCTCCGAGTCTCTGGCTAGGCGGGCGCAGGCCACCGCTCAGGACCCCGTCTTCCAGAAGCTGAAGGGCCAGTTCACCACCGGTGAGTCTCTGTCCGCTCTTCCTGTGCCTGGGGGAGGTCCTGTCCCCCGCTCTTCCTCCGTCTTCAACCTCCAAGCTGATTGCAGTCACCGTGTGTGTTAGCACCGTGTGGGGTGAGCTGGCTGCCCTGGGTTCAAACAGACTCGGGTCTTCAGGACACTGCGGCTCCGCAGCCTGAGAGCTCACGCCCATCCCAGCGAGGGTTAAGGTGTGGAGCCAGGGCTCGGGGCTCCACCTCGTGTCAGGAGGAGGGTGGTTTCCAGCTGAACCTGCCCTTGCTCGCCTGCTCCTCCCATCACTTGGTTTCTGTGGGGAAACTTAACACTGTCAGGTGAGGCTGTGAGACTCACAGGCACGAGTCAGTCCACACACGAAGTGGATCCTGGTGGCAGTGACGGGGAGATCGTATTTCATTGCGTGTCCTAGACCCACAGGAGTGCGGATCCTGGCTTCACTCCCTGTGCTACCTGAGGCAGGCGAGTCCGGCCTCCCTTGGCCTGAGCCTTCCCAGGCCCCCGGCCGCAGGCAGGTGCTCACAGCACCCAATCCCACCTCTGCCCTGCCACTGTCCCCCTGACGTGCCTGGGAAGCACCAGGTCCCAGACGGTCGCTTTGGCTTCTGAGTGGCCTCTGCAGGCTTCTGTCCTGAGCACCTACCTGGGAGAGACCACCATGTGAAAACAAGATAGCTAAATCTCCCGGAGCTGAAGGAAACATTTCAGCTTAATTATCCCTTTTCTAACTGTCTTAAAAATAGTCTTTCTTTACTGATACATTAAACGAGAAAATAAATGGTTCTCATTTTTAGGTATTTAAAGTATGTTTTAACAACTTGTACCTCAGAGAACATAGTTAAAAATTGTATGTATGTAGAGTAGGTTGAAATCACATAACAAAACATTACCCCCACTGACTACAAAGGGATCAACCCACCTGGAGCACAGCATGCCGCCACCTCGCGCCCAGGGGCCAGGGCACTGGTCCCCCGCTCCTGGTGGGTGGGTGTTAAACACTGGACTTGCTGGAAGGTCGAGGGGCTTCCCTGGAGCCGACACCTGAGGAAGGTGCTGCTCGCCCGTCCGGCCCCTCCTGCCCTTCACACTGAACAAAGGGCTTCATGTCTCAGATGTTTCTGTGTGACGTCCAGGTGACATGGTCTGTCCCTGTTCCCTGAAAGAGGAGTTTGAGGTGAAGTTTTATGGATGTCATCACGTTTTACTTAAAAGAAATGATACTCAGTATGTGTTTACCTTCCAATGTCTGATCATTAAATCAAATATAGTCTGAATTAGAGAATCAGAGGTGGTCCACTGGCCACTGACTAGGAGTGCGTGTGGAGGTTCAGTCAGCCCAGAAATAGCACAACAGACTCACCCAGAGAGCGAAGACCCCTTTACACCCGGGCGCTTGCACATGGTACTCCTGTCCACTTTCTGTAAGAGCCCCAAACTGGACACTGCCAGATGCCCCTCAAAGGGGAGTAGACCAGCAGTGCAGTGCGTCCACATACACACACACGAAACACACAGAGTGGAGTTAACTATGGTTACTCACAGCCTGGATGGACCTCAGATTATGCCCAGTGCAAAAAGCCAATCTTAGAAGGAGGCATACTGCATGATTCTATCTGTAAGGTAACAATAACAAGTGGAGAGTGGAAGAGTTGTGGCCCCACCACCTCCTTGGGGGCCCCTCCCTGGGGAGGAGATGGGTGTGGCTGTGAGGGGATGGGCAAGTAGGGCATCTTGGTTGTGGTGCTGCTTATGCCCAAGGTCTGCTCTTGGGTGGCCACCCCGCTCTGGTGCCTGTGGGCCTCCCTCAGCAGTGTTGATGGGGCCCCGCCAGCCCCGGGTCCGCATTCATGCTGCATTTAGCTCCATCCAGCCTGCAGCGGCCCAGGGAAGGCTCTGCCCCAGCCAAGTGGAAAGAGGACCTTCCAGGGCAGCCCTGCCTGGGCTCACGCTGCCCAACCTGCCTTTGCAAAAGCAAACACGGAAGAGCGCGTGGAAGGCGCTTGAGAGGTCTGGCTACCTCGAGCGTGTGTGTGAAGGTGCCTCTGCGCATCACAAGCCGACCTTTCCTTTGGCCGCCGGATCACGGTTTCTTGGTGACACGAGCACTGGGCCTCCTCACGGCCCCCGCGGAATCTGTGTTTCAGACAGAAGTCGTTGGGCTTATCCTGACCTTCAGAATCTGGTGAATTAGGATTAGAGCCCCACCCACCATAGGTGTTGATCTGGATGGAACTGAGGTTTCTTAAAAGAAGGACTTTTCAATCTAATGGACCTTTTAATACTGAGACTCAGTAAAATGAGAGAATACAGTAGTTGGGGGTTTTAATTGCTTAAGCAAGAAGTATGTATTTTCCATTTTTGTCATTTTTATTTCTTGCCTTAATCCCTTTAATGAACTGATTTATAATTCAGTGTTCGCCTGGATGTCTTCCTTTTCCCATTTAGCTTCAGATCTGTCACTGTGTTGGTCACTGACCGGGGGCCTTACTAGTTCCTCAGGGTAATGTGTGCTCAGAGGCGGGCCTGCCACCGGGCAGTCATCTGTGGGCCGTCTCCTTGGGCTCCTGATCCCTCAGGCCCCATGGCTCAGCACTGAGACAGCCCTGGGCCCCACATCCTCTCCTGAAAGAAGCCTGTTGTGATGGGGGTGACCTTCCGTGTTAGCGGCTCATCTCTTCCCCCTCCCCCCACCTGGGGAATTGACGGGCCCCCTACTAGGCTCTCTCGTTTTTTTCAGGCCTTAAGTTACACTTCAAGAGTGCGAGGGACTTAAAATGTTTTTGCTCCAGACTAGATTTAAAGGATGCTTGGTTCCTAGCAAGGAGCTGCTTAAGCATGAGTTTGTAGTGAATTCAAAGTAGCCTGGATGATTTAAAATGTTTTTAATCATGTTTTATTTTGAAGATTTTGACTTCAGTGTTCCAGGATCCATGAAGCTTCATAATCTTATTTCTAAATTGAAAAAGTGGATCAAAATCCTAGAGGCTAAAACAAAGCAGCTTCCAAAATTCTTCCTCATAGAAGAAAAGTGCCGGTTTTTGAGCAATTTCTCAGCACAGACAGCAGAAGTAGAAATCCCTGGGGAATTTCTGATGCCAAAGCCAACACATTATTATATCAAGATCGCTCGGTGAGTCCGCCTGGCAGCACCTGATCACTAACCCATCAGTGTGAGAGGCCTGGGCAGCCTTTCAGGCTCTGACCCCTCCCTGTGCTCTCCTTTACCCTGGAACATGGGAACATGAGATGCTCTAGGATTTGAGTAATCAAACACCCTTAAAGGATCTCCTCTGATAGGTCAAATGTCTTGAGTCAAATTTCTGTTCCTTTTGTTTCCAAAAGAACCTTTTCTGAATCCCCAGAGAACTTGACAAAATATAGTTTCCCAGTCTTTTGTAAACACTTAAAATGCAGTATTCAAAACAGAACCATGATTTCACTCATCTGTGGAGTATAAGAACAAAGAAAAAAACTGAAGAAACAAAGCAGCAGCAGACTCACAGAACCCAAGAATGGACTAACAGTTACCAAAGGGAAAGGGACTGGGGAGGATGGGTGGGAAGGGAGGGAGAAGGGGGAAAAGGGGCATTATGATTAGTACACATAGTGTAGGGGGAGGAGCCACGGGGAAGGCAGTATAGCACAGAGAAGACAAGTAGTGATTCTGTAGCATCTTAAGCCCCTCCCTGGGGAGGAGATGGGTGTGGCTGTGAGGGGATGGGCAAGTAGGGCATCTTGGTTGTGGTGCTGCTTATGCCCAAGGTCTGCTCTTGGGTGGCCACCCCGCTCTGGTGCCTGTGGGCCTCCCTCAGCAGTGTTGATGGGGCCCCGCCAGCCCCGGGTCCGCATTCATGCTGCATTTAGCTCCATCCAGCCTGCAGCGGCCCAGGGAAGGCTCTGCCCCAGCCAAGTGGAAAGAGGACCTTCCAGGGCAGCCCTGCCTGGGCTCACGCTGCCCAACCTGCCTTTGCAAAAGCAAACACGGAAGAGCGCGTGGAAGGCGCTTGAGAGGTCTGGCTACCTCGAGCGTGTGTGTGAAGGTGCCTCTGCGCATCACAAGCCGACCTTTCCTTTGGCCGCCGGATCACGGTTTCTTGGTGACACGAGCACTGGGCCTCCTCACGGCCCCCGCGGAATCTGTGTTTCAGACAGAAGTCGTTGGGCTTATCCTGACCTTCAGAATCTGGTGAATTAGGATTAGAGCCCCACCCACCATAGGTGTTGATCTGGATGGAACTGAGGTTTCTTAAAAGAAGGACTTTTCAATCTAATGGACCTTTTAATACTGAGACTCAGTAAAATGAGAGAATACAGTAGTTGGGGGTTTTAATTGCTTAAGCAAGAAGTATGTATTTTCCATTTTTGTCATTTTTATTTCTTGCCTTAATCCCTTTAATGAACTGATTTATAATTCAGTGTTCGCCTGGATGTCTTCCTTTTCCCATTTAGCTTCAGATCTGTCACTGTGTTGGTCACTGACCGGGGGCCTTACTAGTTCCTCAGGGTAATGTGTGCTCAGAGGCGGGCCTGCCACCGGGCAGTCATCTGTGGGCCGTCTCCTTGGGCTCCTGATCCCTCAGGCCCCATGGCTCAGCACTGAGACAGCCCTGGGCCCCACATCCTCTCCTGAAAGAAGCCTGTTGTGATGGGGGTGACCTTCCTTGTTAGCGGCTCATCTCTTCCCCCTCCCCCCACCTGGGGAATTGACGGGCCCCCTACTAGGCTCTCTCGTTTTTTTCAGGCCTTAAGTTACACTTCAAGAGTGCGAGGGACTTAAAATGTTTTTGCTCCAGACTAGATTTAAAGGATGCTTGGTTCCTAGCAAGGAGCTGCTTAAGCATGAGTTTGTAGTGAATTCAAAGTAGCCTGGATGATTTAAAATGTTTTTAATCATGTTTTATTTTGAAGATTTTGACTTCAGTGTTCCAGGATCCATGAAGCTTCATAATCTTATTTCTAAATTGAAAAAGTGGATCAAAATCCTAGAGGCTAAAACAAAGCAGCTTCCAAAATTCTTCCTCATAGAAGAAAAGTGCCGGTTTTTGAGCAATTTCTCAGCACAGACAGCAGAAGTAGAAATCCCTGGGGAATTTCTGATGCCAAAGCCAACACATTATTATATCAAGATCGCTCGGTGAGTCCGCCTGGCAGCACCTGATCACTAACCCATCAGTGTGAGAGGCCTGGGCAGCCTTTCAGGCTCTGACCCCTCCCTGTGCTCTCCTTTACCCTGGAACATGGGAACATGAGATGCTCTAGGATTTGAGTAATCAAACACCCTTAAAGGATCTCCTCTGATAGGTCAAATGTCTTGAGTCAAATTTCTGTTCCTTTTGTTTCCAAAAGAACCTTTTCTGAATCCCCAGAGAACTTGACAAAATATAGTTTCCCAGTCTTTTGTAAACACTTAAAATGCAGTATTCAAAACAGAACCATGATTTCACTCATCTGTGGAGTATAAGAACAAAGAAAAAAACTGAAGAAACAAAGCAGCAGCAGACTCACAGAACCCAAGAATGGACTAACAGTTACCAAAGGGAAAGGGACTGGGGAGGATGGGTGGGAAGGGAGGGAGAAGGGGGAAAAGGGGCATTATGATTAGTACACATAGTGTAGGGGGAGGAGCCACGGGGAAGGCAGTATAGCACAGAGAAGACAAGTAGTGATTCTGTAGCATCTTAACTATGCTGATGGACAGTGACTGTAATGGGGTTTTTGGGGGAGACTTGGTGAAGGGGGGAGTCTAGTAAACATAATGTTCCTCATGTAATTGTAGATTAATGATACCAAAATAAAAAAAATAAAAAACAGAACCAGACAATTTTAAAATCTACTAAGGCATTGCTTCTCATGTTAAACATAAAAGGTGCTGTGACAAATGGTCACCACCAAAGCTCTGCTTTTCCAAACATGCAGAATTTGGTTTCCCTTTCCCCCAAGTCCAGCTTGTGTCTGGCCAGCCCTTCCTCCTCCCTGACTCCCAGAGGCCCACGGGGAGGGTGACCGCGAGGCGTGCCAGTCCCCACGCCGGCTCGTCACTGCCCCAGTGCAGATTCGCAGACTGACGTTCAGAGCCTGGTCCCTCCCAGCTCCCTGCCGATGCTCTCGGGCCAGATTGGCAGCCTGTCTTCTCTGAAGTTGTCACCGTGGCCTGACTGATTGGACTCCAGCGTCATCTATTCTACCTTTTGTTTTCCCTTGGCCTGCCCTCCCGCCCCACCTCTGCCAGTGTGGAAACTGATGTCGTTTCTTTTCTTGTATCATAAAACATTGTCATGCTGTTTATGCCTTGTCAGAATGAGGTGGGGTTGAAATGGCTGCTGTAACTACACCGCCTGCTTTGTTGTGACGATTCTGACTGCCAAAGGATTGGAAACTGAGCCTCGGAGCTGGTGTTTGATTATTTGCTTGTCTCTCTAGGTTTATGCCCAGGGTGGAGATTGTGCAGAAGCACAATACTGCAGCCAGGAGGCTGCACATCCGTGGACACAATGGCAAGATCTACCCCTACCTTGTCATGAACGACGCCTGCCTGACAGAGTCACGGAGAGAGGAGCGTGTGCTGCAGCTACTCCGCCTGCTGAATCCCTGTTTGGAGAAGAGGAAGGAAACCACAAAGAGGCACTTGTTTTTCACAGGTATGAGAACTGCATTTTGGGGCACATGGCTGCTCCCATGAGCCTTTGAGGGCTTTTGTGTGTGCCCTCTGTCAGCAGCCCAGAGTGCCTGGACTGACCAAGTAGGAAAGGCCTTGGAGGGAGATCAGGTCCCCTAGATAGGGCTGCGGCCCCCAGCCCTCAGGCTCCTTGCTGCAGGACGAGGCTGTGCCCAGGTCCAGTTTAGAAAGGGGGCACCAGGCCCAGGGTGCTGCCAGTTTCTTCCCCGGGAATCGGCCTGGGCTGAGCACGGGGCTTGTTGGGCGTGTCACAGCACACTTTCATGTTTGAGTGAGCCTCCACGTGACTCCTGGGACCCACACTGCAGGGTTTGCCCTCCCCAAGCAAAGTGCAGGCCTTGGGAAGCTGAGGAAGCTCCATGAAGGCCCCAGAAATCTTGGCTAAGGCAGCCAGCACAGCCCCTGAGTGAGGTCTTTCCACACCAAGTGGTCGTGTTTGATTTATGGGTGACCTGTTCCTGTTACAACGGGGCGTGAGTAAGACGCCTGTCATCTCACTCGGAGGGAAGAACCATGGTTCAAACATTTGAGCATTTAGTCCCTGAGGTTAGGGGCCCGTTGTGATACATGTTGTCTAGTCCCATGTGGAACTTTGTCCTGACAGCTAAGGTGAAATCTGACCCACTCTGACCTACATCTATTGCCCTTTAAGTTCAGTATCCCCAAAATAAGAAGTAGATTGAAAACAAGTCTGTGGGAAGCTGTGTGTAGTTACCACATTTGAAACATGATCATGCTGCTGACCCAGCTGTATAATAGATTGATCTTGGCTGCTTCCAAAGAAATAGACCCTTGGTTAGCACCAAGTGATGGTGTCCAAATATGTGCCCTGGAGTCACTTTGAAATTCTTCATGGACTGAAGCCATGGCAGGAAGCCAGTAGCTGTGATTTAACTGGCGGGCTGGCTGAGCACTGTGTCTGTTAGAATGGCATTTGTGTGCCCTGCGCCAACCTCTGGGCTCATGTGGTGGTGACGGACTGAGGCCACCACAGGCCCTGGTTTGCAGGCCCCTCTCAGAGCACCAGAGCAGGTTGTGCTGTGACACCCCCACCCTGGACAAGCTTAATCTTGCTGCCATCTTCTGGAAACTCAGCTTTCTACAAAATGTCTTTAGGATAAGGCTTTAATCTACTATCTTTGAAGTGTTATTTGATCCACCAACAACACTGTGGAGTGGGTGCTGCTCTCTCGTGTACGGGTGAAGAAGCTGACATTCCCCAAGTCTAGGAACTGTCCACAGGGTCACCGCACCGGGGCAGTGGGCTTGGGGCGGGAGGGCAGGCAGGCCGGCTCCCCTGGCTTGCTGGTTGGGTATGGTTGTGATGTCAGGTGTTGCCCTGTTCCATGAATTGTTTCATAAACTACATCTCAGATGCGAGAACGGTAACTGGGGAGCCCCATGTGTCGCCATCTGTCCGTACAGGTAAATTAACAGGATGGAATCACCAGATGCACTCTGGGTGCTTTCCTTGTCAAGCCACAGAGCACAGAGGACCCCTTGAGTGGTCACTGACTCACCACACGCAACACCGCCATGCTTGGCCCTGCGGGGCAAGGCGATGGGAGCGGGGAGAAGGGTGACTCCCCTGATGAACCCCAATCGAGGAGAGCCTCTAAAATGTGAACAGTTGGCCCAGTCTCTTTATTTTTAATTTTTTAAAAATTTTCTGAATCATTCCTGTTATCTGGGTCTTCAATTCAGGATGGTGGCTGCTCAGCTCTGTCCCCCAAGAGACCGAGCTTCACACCTTGTGCTGAGTCAGTACGTGGTGTGGGATCGGCTCTGCAGCTTCCTCTGCTCACAAAGGGCTGCCTGGCATGAAGGCTGGTGCCTGTCCATAGCCATAGCCATCCCCTCAGCTGCCCTTCCTTCCCTGCCCCCTCAGTCCCGCGAGTGGTGGCAGTGTCCCCGCAGATGCGCCTGGTGCAGGACAACCCCTCTTCCCTGTCCCTCGTGGAGATCTACAAGCAGCGCTGTGCCAAGAAGGGCATCGAGCACGACAACCCCATCTCCCGTTACTACGACAGACTGGCCACTGTGCAGGCACGTGGGACCCAAGCCAGCCACCAGGTACCGGGTCGGGAGAGGCAGGGCGCCAGGTGCTGCTTCCATGGTGTGTGTGCTGGGAAAGGGGGTGGGGCCTTAGAGGTTCCTTCCCTAGAGGGCTGGACTTGTGAGATGGTAGCAGTTAGATGGTCACAGACCCTGGTGAAGTGTCCTTTGCTGCAGACCATTTGTCACAACAAAATGAAGTAAAATTTTAGCGTTGGAGAGGTTTGTGACCTTTTGCTGCACTTAGAAGCACAGAAGTTCGAATTTTTTTTTTTTTGGTATTAATTATTATTTTAATTCATTTTGTTATCATTAATCTACAATTACATGAAGAACATTATGTTTACTAGACTCCCCCCTTCACCAAGTCCCCCCCCGCAAACCCCATTACAGTCACTGTCTATCAGCATAGTAAGATGCTGTAGAATCAAAAGTTTGAATTTTAAAAATAACTTTATGGCAAACTCATTTGGCAGCCACACCTGATTTAGGGATGTGAAGCTATTTGTTTGCTGTTCCCCCCTCATCTGGCTTTGCTTGGGGGTGTTAGGGGATATGTAGTCTCTGAACTGTGTATAGTTGCTAAAATACATGAGGCCCGGCTCTTTCTGTCGCCTCTGGCAGGAGCACACGGCTACCACAGCAACCTGGCCACTGTGGCCGGCTCCCAGCGGTGGACGAGGTCCCCCTGCCCAGCAGATCGCTGTGCTAGGTGGAAGGCCTGCAGGTGCGGGCTCTGGATGAGGAGGTCTTGTACAGGATTGTTGCACGTCACTGAGAGGTGCTTCCCTTGGCCTGCGCACCAGATGCCACTGTTGGCCTTCCTGCACTTGCCTAGAGGGCCTCACAGTTTGTAGGAGAGCCTGAAGCTATGACCTGGCCTCCATTCCTCCAGGGACTCATTTTGGTTGGTCTGGGTCCTGCCAGATGTTTTGTTGAGGAGGATGGAGCCCACAGGGTGCTGGCTTCACTGGCCATGGCAGCACTCTGGGTGCAGGCAGGCCTGGGGCTCTGGGCCTCCGGGTCTGCTGCGGCCTCCCGCCTTCGTGCAGGCCGAGGAGGTGGAGTCCCTCTGTTCTCGTTGGTCTGTGTGGACAGAGTCCGTCACCTCCCTTGGAACTCAGTGTCACATGCAGGTCACTGCCTCGTCACTCTGGACTGTGGGTGGTTTTGAGGTGCTCGTGGGCAGTGAATGGATTGTGTTCTGTGGCTACATTTACCTCTGACAGTGTGGAAACTGATGAGCTCTATTGGGATAAACGTGTACATGAGAGTCCCCCTAATAAACTGGTGAAGCTGTGATGAACGGTCCAGTTTAGGAACAGCTAAGGGTGCTGGTCCCAGCGTCAATCTGCTTCTTACCCTTTGTACCTGGTTTATTTCATTAACTCTGCTGCTTCATTCTTTGCGTTTGTTTACTAACACCTTTGTTGAAATACAATTCATGGGCCAGAAAATTCACTCTTTAAAATGTACCACGCAGTGCTTTTCATAAAGTCACAGAGGTGTGAAGTCGTCACTACTGTCTGTCTGCAAAACGTCAGCCCCAAAAGAAACCTCATACCCATTACTAGTCACTCCCCCTTCCCGTCTGCCCCCAGCCCTTGACCAGTGCAGATCTTCTGTCTCTGAATCTGCCTATTCTGGCCATATTTTATTAATGCTGTCAAACAACGTGTGGTCTTCTGTTCTGGCTTCTCTCACTTGGCACCGTGTTTCCCACGTTCACCCACTCTGTGGCATCAGTCAGCAGTTTGTCCTTGTTTACTATGGAGTAATTCTCCCTGGTGTGAATAGACCATATGTAATTTATCTGTGCATCAGCTGAGGGGCTTTTGGATTAGTTATCTTTTTGCCTATTATAACAAGTGCTGCTGTGAACATTGATGCATGAGTTTTCCTATGAATATATGTTTTATTTCGGTTGGATATACACTAAGAGAATTGCAGGGTCAAGTGGTAAGTCTTCTGTTAACATTTTCATGTGCTGCCCAGCGATTTTCCGAAGTGACCCTAATGCATGAGGGTCCCAGTTCCCCCGTTTCCCTGCCAGCAGCTGTGTGTGCCCCTCTGTCCACAGCGGCCCTCATGGGCTCACATTGCCTGGTAACCAGGGATACCGAGCAGCTCCTAATGGGCTGATTGGCTCTTGGCATATTTACTTTGGAGAAATGTATATTCAGTCCCTTTGTTCATTTTAAATTGGATGATTTGTCTTTTTATTGTTGATTCTACTTTAATATTTATACAAGTAGCTTCACTTTTTTCCTGTGTTGTATATTGGCCATGTTTTCCTGATTTTTTGCATGTCTTCCCATTTTGTTGTTTTTGTTGGAAGCTGTACATCTTAAATAAAACAATGTGGCAGCTCAGGAAACCAGATCCTTCCCCACCTCCAGGTGTGTTACTGTTGATCTGTTGAGTGACTTTCCTGGTCTGATTCTATGGACTGTTTGTCCTGCTCCCTTGCCTCAGTTGTCAGCTAATAATTTGACAGAGCAGTTCCTAGATGCCTTGAACCAGTAAGTCCACTGCCTTTTTTGGGGCCTCTGGGTGTGCAGGGCAGCGCGCCTTCAGCGGTCGGGCAGCTTACGACTCGACGTCAGTCTTCGTGTCCCCTGTGCAGTCTCGAGGTCAGCCGTGGGTAAGAGCCGCGGGCCTCCTGAGGCTTTCGTGAGCAGAGAGTCCCAGAAACCTGTTGGAGCTTTTCAAAGCTTCCCAGTCCTGGCGTTGCCAGCCTGCCCTCAGGTTTGGCCGCCCTCATGCGCTCCAGACAGCGTCCCTGCCTTGGGTCCCTGTGACGTGAGCACCTGTGCTCACTGCTAACAAGTGCCCCACGCAGGCTGTTCATCGCCGACTGAACTCTGAGGCCACACGGAGATGGCCCTGCAAGGGAGCTTCCTGAGGACAGGTCACACAGGGCAGTGCTCGGGCTCTGAGGCTCCAGGGGCACTCACCACATCTGATCTGTCCACCCCAAGGCTGTCAGGCTGCTGGTGTTTATAGCTGGTGTGGGTGCAGTTCTGATGGTTTTCAAGGCCACTTGTGGAACTGGAGAGAAATGCATGGGAATAGAATGAATTAATTAAACTGCCACCAAAGTTCACCGTTCTCACCAAGATTTGGCCTTTTTTTCTTGAACAAGAACTGATCAGGTTGTTGTAAGCCTTTGTTTAATTTTCAGAGTTCTGGAAAAGTCTATTTTGATGATTTTTGCCCATGTTCTTAATGCTTTTATGGAGGATTGGATTTTAGAAGTCCTCACTCCGCTCTCAGAGGTGCGTGTGGCGGCTGGTCTGTGTGGCTCTTGGTTGTGTAGAGCCTGCACTCTAGGGCTCTTCAGAGCACATGGGTAAGACTTAGCCCAGAGCGTCTTGTGCCTTTAGTCGCTGGTCTATCTAACAAGACCTAAATTAACTTAATAAACTCTTCATTGAGGCGATCTCTAAATTCATGATGTTTGAAACAGTCTTGTGAGTCTTCCGGTACAGAATTCAGTTGAAAGCATTGTATAAGATCTGCTCTAATGTTAGACAAGCTCCTTCAGTTTATAACATTTTTGTCTTTGTCTTATATGTAGTGGTGGTGTTGGTGTCAGTGCTCAACTATTCTTTTGTTCTTTTGTAATATTCTAATATTTTTTTTGGTATACTTCTGTATTTAGCAAGTTACAGTATTCAGGTATTTGCCTACATTCTCAGCGAGACAGATCTCACCCAGGAAACGAAGGCTTTTGTTCAGACGGCTTTGAGCAAAAGACGTGGGATCTTGGAGGGAAGCCGACCGATCTTGTGTATCCCCATGTTTAGTCAAATAACAGTTCATATGTATTTGTCAGTTAAAATTCACTGTACTGGTACCAAAATTCAGTGGAAGAGTGACAGAATGTTGTGTCCCTTCAGGTCCTTCGAGACATCCTCAAGGAGGTTCAGAGTAACATGGTGCCACGCAGCATGCTTAAAGAGTGGGCTCTGCACACATTCCCCAACGCCACAGACTACTGGACATTCCGGAAGATGTTCACCATCCAGCTCGCACTGATTGGCTTTGCAGAATTCGTCTTGCATTTAAATAGACTCAACCCCGAGATGTTACAGATTGCTCAGGTAATTTGGTGTGAACAGCCAGACAGACCCTCTCTGCTAACAACCACACTCTGCTGTGTAAGTTCTGAAATTCTCCTCCTCATACTTAGGACACAGGCAAACTGAATGTTGCCTACTTTCGATTTGATATAAATGATGCAACTGGAGACTTAGATGCCAACCGACCTGTCCCTTTTCGCCTCACACCCAACATTTCTGAGTTTCTGACCACCATTGGCGTCTCTGGCCCATTGACTGCCTCCATGATCGCCGTCGCGCGGTGCTTTGCCCAGCCGAACTTTAAGGTGGGTCGCCATGTCTCACAGAAGGCTCAGGCGGGGGTTGCTCCGTGCACATGTGGCCTGGCAGGAGCTGCTGATCTGCTGAGGGGGAGGAGAAAGCCAAGTTAGAAAACCTAGTTGTTATTGTACAATTAAAGCATATTCATTTGGGAAAAGGGGTTTTACGGTGTTCCCCATCCAGAAATGTTTAGGATGTTGAGAACTCCATTTACAAAAAGGGATCTAGAAGCCTCTGTTGGATAAATTGCCCATTTTTACAGACTGTTCTGCTGTATAAAAGGGCAGCGATGTTCTCTAAGGCAGCACCTACCTCACCAGGGCTATAGTTGTGGGGCCTAAACAAGTGCATGGGAGGCATGGGCTCACCTCCTGGAGGTGTGAGGTGTGACAAGGCGCCCTGCTGCTTGAAGGAGTGTGAGAGGCCTGCCCGGGGACAGGATGGTGGCCGCTCCCCGGCGCCTTCTCTGCGCCCAGCACACCACCCACTTCTCCCAGCAGTGGTGTGGATGGGAGCCCTGAGGCCGGGAGGGCAGGTGCCTGTCAAGGGGCCCCCAGCAGGGAGAAGCAGGCGGGGATTCAGGTCCGGTTCATTCGGACCCTGAGCCTGTCTCCTCACCACCGAGATACTAATGTCTTCCTAGTTGGGGACTGGACACAGATTATTTGTCTTAACTTATGAGACCTGTTGTACCTTATTTTTTTCTTTTTTTCCCAAATAAGCAGTTTGTGACAAGAGAAGGCTTTCTTTAAACAACAGTTGCTTTCTAAAAATATTTACTCAGAACTGTTTTTAGGTTATTGAATAAATGCTTAGCTGTGAACAAGGACCTTGTATTAGCTGCTCCTCTTGTTCTTTTTGATGTTAGTGGTACACTGAACACCCCCATTAGTGCGACTGCTTTTGGGGAACGGTGTATCTATGCACATATGCTGCTGTGACCTGGTCTTTCGGTTTCTTCTTGGGAGGAGTTTGTACTCTGAACAGTGCAGTGAATAGCAGTTCCCACCATCCGCCTTTGGCTTATGGCTTGAAATAGGAAGTTCTCTTTTATACAGAAGTGTTACACTTACAGGAACAATCATAGGGTAATCCTTAGGATGGCATTTAGTTTGGAAACTTTGAAAAGAATGAAGAAGTCTCTTCATATTTTATTACAACTTGGAGTAACACCGTGTGTGACTCTTTACGTAGACTCTGCTGGTGTAAACGGGGTGGGGCTGGGCCTTCTCCACACTTTGGGCCCAAATTTCTTAGCAGCTAAGTCAAGGAGATGCACTTAGGTTAAGGCTGAAATGTAGACCATTCTGTGCAGGAATCTCTCCTAAAGACATTGTGTTGGGAGCAAGTCAGACAGGATAAGCCTTCAACCTGCTGGTCTGAAGTCACTCAGCAGCCTGGGAGCCTGAGGTGAAAGCGCTCTGCAGGCTCTGAACGTGACTGGGACTGGGGTGTCTGCAGCAGTGCTCTCTCTTCCGGACCCTCTATAGCTGCTAGCCTTTAGTCTCCATGTAATGTGGGGGAAGGGGCCTTATTGCTATGTCCTGTGTATAAACGGGGAAACCAAGTGCCGGAGCTGGGGCCAGAACCCGGCATCTGTGCTGTGACTGCTCGGAGGCCTGGCAACAGCTCTCGCTGATCCTCCAAGATGGCCAGGGAGACTCGTGCTGCTCGGCCCGAGTTTTGTTCTCTCAGCCTGAGATGTGCCTTGCATTCCGTCCCATCTCTACCCAAATAGGACCTCTTAATGCTCTCCAGCTGAGAACCCTGCTGAGCCCTCCTCACCTGCTCTTTTCTCCATAGTGCCCATCACCTGGCGGGTCACAGGGGGACCTAAGCCCCCATGTAGGGGCAGGGGGCGTGGTGTTTGTGTTATGCACTCGTAGCAGCAGGGCCAGGAACAGGTCTACCCGACCAAACCCCCAAAGGCCTGGAGTGAAACAGATGGATAAACACATTGGCACCAGTCAACAGCATGGTGGCGGCAGGGGCCATAGACACACGTGCCCTGGCGCTCTTGAGGCCTTGATGAATCACATGGAGGCAGCAGATCTCACCCCAGGCGGCTTCCCCAGCACATGCACAGGGCACATGCCCCAGCGCTGGGTGCCCAGGCTTGCTGGCCCCACGGCTTCTGCGGCCAAGCACAGTGTCGTTGGGAAGCTGCCCCTCTGGGTTGTTGGTCAAACACAGATTGCTTCCTTCTTTTCCCGCAGGTGGACGGCATCCTGAAAACAGTGCTCCGGGATGAGATCATTGCTTGGCACAAAAAAACACAGGAGGACACGTCCTCTCCTCTTTCGGCTGCCGGGCAGCCCGAGAACATGGACAGCCAGCAGCTGGTCTCCCTCGTGCAGAAGGCCGTCACCGCCATCGTGACCCGCCTGCACAGCCTGGCCCAGTTTGAAGGCGGGGAGAGCAAGGTGAACACCCTGGTGGCCGCCGCCAACAGCCTGGACAACCTATGCCGCATGGACCCCGCCTGGCACCCGTGGCTGTGACCCGGCCCCTCCCGAGCCTGCAGCCTTTACGGCTCTGTCCGCCCCGACCATGGTATGTGCAGGAGTCCTGCAGTGTGAGCCGGCTGAAGCTGCTCTCCTGAGGGTGCGTGCAAGGGAGGAGCCTGCACTAGACAGTGAAGCGCTTAGAAATGGCAGGGCCCAGCCTCCGCCTAAGCTTTTAAATTGACCTTTTAAGTAACCGGGATTCCCTGGTCTAGAATTTCTTTGTGAATTCTTTTTTATCATATTCCTCCCTCTGTGTGAATGTACAGATTGAACTGTGGAAAACAATTCTGTATCTTCCATTTTTAACTCTTTCAGAAATTACACCTCACAGGAGTCTCCTGCTTTGTACAGACCTTTGTAAGAAGTGTACAGAAACCTTTGTTAGAGAAACAGGAAATTATGAACAGGTCATGCTGGTTGTCCTTTAAGCACAAGCTTTATGCTGTATGTAACCAGCTCTGGGAATCCCGCTGAGCATTAGGCGTGGGTCCACAGGCCTCGTGACCTGCAGGCAGCGCCGTCCCCCGACGCCCGGGTGCAGAGCCCCTGGGAGGAATAGGATGGAGGTAGCAGGCGGGCCTTACGCTTTCTGTCAGCTGGCTCTTTAGATGTCATCTGGATGTTTACTATCATACCTGGGAAAAAAAAATCACTTTTTCCTTCCTTATTTAAAAAGAAACGGCAACAGAAGTTTGTTAACTCCAGTCTGTTAAATGTTCACATTTTTATAAATATGAGCTTTGAGAATATTCTATCTAAATTTGTACAGTGTGATTTTTTTAGAATAAATATTTTATAAAAGGATGTGTCATGCCTTCCATGCGTTAAAATGCTTGTTTGTGTAGGGTGGGTCTGCCTGCAGCCCTCTCAGCCCCTCAGGGACTGGAGGCCCCAGGCCAGCAGGGGTCCTGCTCCCGTGTGGCTTCCTGGTAATGGACACGTGCTGCCCGGGCGGGGTCTACGCGTGAACCAAAACTGCTCAGCGTGTGTGACGGTGACGAGGAGTGCCAAGCGGAGGGCAGGAGGGGCACGTGGGGCACCGGGGCCCCCTCAGCCCGGTTTATGTATTCCGGGGCTTCAGCTGAGTGTGACCTGCATGCGCAGGGGCTTCGGCTCCACCAGCTGGTCGTTCTTCATCCTGTCCATCCGCACTGAGGGTAGAGAGAGAACAAAGTTGAGCTCTGCCCCAGAAGACGTGGGGGCAGTTCCCAGCACACCAGCGGGATGAGATAACGGTGAAGCACGACTGGGGCCATCGCCCCTTTGGTTCTCAAATTGCGATTCTGAGTTTGGAAGGACTCACCCCTTTGGGAAGTGCTCCATCTGCTGCAGGGACAACTCGGGGCTCCCAGGCCTGCTGTCCTCTTTGTACCATGGCCCCAGCTAGCCTGGGGTGAAGCCTGTGTGGTCTCGGTGGCACCAGCATCCAGCCCCAAGGGGCTTCTAGTAACCAAATGTGCAGAGGCAGCAGCTCTGGGCCGAGGTGGTGCCAGATCGCTCCTGGGACGCCAGCATTCGCAGCAGGGGACTTCACACTGGCCTCGTCCTTGGAAGCCCAGAGCCAGGTCTGCTCTACCGGGAGGGGACTGCCAGCTCGGAAGGTGAGGCGCTCGTCCAGGGTCCCAGAGCCAGTCGTGGAGAGGGACTGCACCTCGGCCCGCCTGACTGCTACCCCCTTAGCTGCACCCTGGAGCATGGACAGAGCGGCCAGCTTCTGGCCACCTGACTGGACTGGCCCGTTCCTTCTTTGGAGCTAATTAGACACAGTCAGTTGTTTTACAATTACTTACAGGGCTGTCTTCATGAGAGTTGGATTCTGGAATGACCATTACAAAAGCCATGTATCTAAGATGACAGCTGATTGCAGACTAGCAGCTGATGGGGACTGTGAAGTGGGGAACGTGCCCCCAACAGTTCTCACTGTGAGTACAATGGCCTCAGCTGGGGTCAGGAGTCGTTTGAAAGCCAAGTGCTCACTGACTGGTGGTTGCAGAGGTGACGTGGATGGCATTTGGGTAAAGGGCAGGCTGTGCGCTGGTGAGCAGGGCCCCAGCTTCTGTGCCAGGCTTGCCACCATGCCCCAAGCTTCGAGGGAGACCAGCGTTCCCCAGTGGGGATGGAGCATGTTCTGAGCGCGGTTGGTAAGTGGGAACATCAGGAGTCCTCAGGAGCTGAGGAAGGACAGAAGGGGCCACACCTGATGTACGCCTGATTCACCGAACACATCAAGGGAAGTACAGTTACTAGACATTGAGTTTTTTTATTGCAGTAAAATACACGTAACAACATTTATATAAACATTTTCTGGTATGCGGGTCTGTGGCATTAAGTACATTCACATTTAACCACCACCACCATCTCTGGAACTTCTCTCATCTACCCAAACTCTGCACCATTAAACACTAACCCCACCGCACGCCAGAGCCTGGCACCAGCTTTCTACCTTGTCTGCATATTTGACTCCTCCAGGAATGTCACGTAACTAGAATCTTGTGGGATTTGTCCTGTGCCTGACGTCCTGAGGGTTCACCCGTGTGGTGGCAGGTGTCAGAACTTCCTTCATGAGGCTGAGTGTTGCATTGCGTATCCATCACCCACATCGTGTGTTATCTGTGCCTCCGTCGATGGACACTTGGATTCCTTCCATCCTTTGGCTGCCGTGAATAATGCCGCTGTGAACGTGGCTGCACAAATACCTGTTCAACTCTCAGCTTTCATTCTGGGAACGTCCACAGCCGTGGGATTGCTGGGTCACATGGTAGCCCTATTTCTAATTTTTTGCAGACTCACCATAGAGCTTTCGCCAGCGACTGCACCATTCTACACCCCCCGCAGTGGCGCCCAGGCCCTCCAGCTTCTCTGCGTTCTCAGCAGTGCTTGTTTTCTGTTTTTACAATAACCATCCTAGCAGGTGTAAAGTGGTGTCTCACGGGGTTTTGTTTGCATTTCTCTTCTGATCAGTGATGTTGGGCACCTTTTCACAAGCTTATTACCATTGTGTATCTTTGGAGAAATAATTCTTCAGATCTAATTCCCATTGTTAAATCAGGTTTTTGTTTTTTTAAGTCGTAGGAGTTCTTGTGTCTTCTGGATATTAGCCCCTGTCACGTATGCGATGTGCAGGTACCTGTTCCCAATCTGTGGGCCGCCTTTCCCGGGCAAACTAGGTTTGGATGTAGCCTAATCACCTAGTTTTTCTCCAGCTGATTGTGCTCGCCGTGTCATGTCCAAGGAATCTGCCAAGCCCGATGTCAGGACACCCTCCCCATGTTTCATCCAGGAGTTTCATAGTTCTTGTTCTTATGTAACTACTTTTCAGCTCCAGAATTTCTCTTTGGCTCTTTAAATCTCTCTATTGAGACCTTGACTTGTTCCTACAGCACCTCCCTGATTCCATCAGTCCTCTGTCCGTGTGGCCCTCGGCTCCAAGCATGTCTGCGGCAGCCGTCGTCAGGTCTCTGTCTAATCAGCCTGATGCCCATGTTTCTTCAGAAGTTTCTGGAGATCTGTTTTTCCTGTGTGCAAACCATGTTTGTTTTTCTGCCTTGTGATCTTTTGTTGAATACTGGGCGTTTGGCAAAGACCCCATCCCAGTCCTTGCCGGCTGGCTGTGTGCAGGGGTGTCCCGGCCTATCAGCCCAGTGTGGGGGCCTGGGGTCTCCCCGGCTCGCTCCGGGCGTGCATCCTCCCACAGCCTGCCTTGGGCTTTCTCCAGTTCCCTGCATGCTCGGCTGCTTGTTCACACACAGGTTTGCTGAGAGTCACCCCGCTTCCCTTCAGGGGCCTCAGACGTTCTGTCTATTCCTCAGTCAGGACTCTTGCCCAGGGCCTGCAGGGAGCCTGGTTTTCACAGGCTCACCTGGAGCTGAGTGGCTTTTGACTGAGCTCCAAGTTAGGCAACACGACCCTGTCTCTCAGGCAGCTGGTCAGGTAAGCATGCTGCACGGCAGTCTGCTTTGTTCTCTGGGCTGTGAAGGGGGCCTGGGGACCAGGCAGCCCCGTCCCCCAAACCATCAGCCGTGCCTTGCTGGGGAAGGTGTGGACCAAGGGCAGGAGAAGCGCCTTGAAATTTCCTGCCCTTCTGTAGCTCCTCCTTGCCTGGGGTTTGCTCTGCCCAACAGGTTTTTGCTCCCAGGGCTGCTGGTTATTTTAGCCACAGCCTCTAGCTGCTCGCCTCATGTTCCCACGTGGGGTGTCCTAGTCCTAATCTTCCACCTTGGCATTTCCCAGGCATTTTATTTTAATTTAAATCTGTTTAACTTAAAATGGATTTAAATTTTTATTAAGTTCTATTTTACAGAAGTGTGAGTTTATAAACTGTAAATGAAAATACATTTGTTAACTTACTCTAACCTTAAAAACTAGATGAAATCTGACCTCTGGTTCACAGAAATGAACTCTGAGGCCCCCAGGTGCACCAGCATGCTCACACCGACCGGAAACATCACCCAGAAAACCCAGCTTCTCATCCTCCAGACCCAGAAAGAAGGAAACAGTTTCTTATAAAATTCACCTTTAAATGAAGATCAGTTTTAAAGTAAGCCCCAAAAGATTCTAATTGTTGCCAAGTTTCCATTTGAGCACTTAGATAATCAGTTGACTACATAAGTGAAACTAAAAGAAACTGCAACATTACTTTGGAGAAGAAACAAGAAATTGCTCTGTTTCTGGGCCATTAGAAGAAACTTGTTAAGCAGCAAAACCAAAGTACTATTTTTACACTAGCCAGAGGCCAAATACAATGGAAGTAAGTTTGTAATAAGATTCACATATTTATAATGTACACATTTATAAATCATATCCTAAGAATTTAAAATATTATGAAGCCTTCAGTTAACTTTTATGCAATCACTTAAATAACAGCAATAAAATCCAAAAGAAAATAGTCAAAATTATTTTAGAAGACAAACTTGCTGTATTTATGGATTGTTTTTGTGACCTTATTAGCAACAAAAATTCTGTATCAGTACTACCTACAAACAGAATGAAGTGAAAGCAATTTATAAGATTCACATTTAAATATCCTCTGGGTCTTCCAATTGGCACACTGGAAGGCAAACAACTTCCTCAGGCTACGCTGACGGAGGGGGATCCAAGGCCTGCTGCGGACACGGGTCATCAGTGGAGTATGTGTTGGGCCAGTGAAACCCACTGGAGGAGGAATTCCTGGGAGGCTCCATCCTCACTTACCGGAGCATAGCGAAGGACAGGTGCTCTAGGGGCCGGTCCTGGGGCCCCCTCAGTAGCATCTGGGAAGGACCAGAGAGTCTCAGCCACTGGTTCCAGCCAGTGAGTCTGAGAGTCTTGGCTCTGCCTGGCCACTAGGAGGGTGGGCACGGCCAGTGGAAGGTCCGTTCTACAGAGGGCCTGGGGGATGCGGGTCACAGCCTAGGGCCCTGCACCATTGTGGTGCCGTGTTCCTTCTCCCTCGGGGAATCTGGTTCCAGAGGATTCCCTGGTGGGCCTCTTAGGCCTCTGCCCATGCTTCACTTGAAACATTGGGGACATACGTTAAACTCTGAATTCTTTCCAAGTAATTATTGTCTGAAGTTTTCTTTTCTTAAGGTACTGTGAGTGTTTCTCTCATGGGAAATAAGCTGGCTTTGAAGGTGGCCATTGAGAATTTCTGATGTTTCTGGAAGAACTGTGATCTCTCTGTCAGCTCCCAACTCTTCACATTCATGTCTGGTCTCTTCTATTGAAGATTCTCCTCTCTCTCTTCACAAGGAATTCGATCCAGATTTAATATTCAGCACAAATTCATTTCTTTATCTCAGTGTACTTTCTGCTGGAACATCTACATT